CCAGGAGGTGGTGTCCTGGAAGCCAAGTGAAGAAAGTGTTTCCAGGAGGAAGATGAGATCAACTGTGTGAAATGCTGCTCACAAGTAGGATGAAAATCACAGAGACCACTGTCTTTCTAGCGGGTCATCAGTGACCACATTAAGAGCAGTTTCAAGATGGCAGAAAGAAGTGGGAGAAAACCAGACTAGACTGGACACAAGAAAGAACACAAGTAAGAGACAAGTATAAATAAATCTTAAGGAACAAAAAATGGGGGGAGAGTTGAAAGGGTGCGTAGAATGGAGTTTTTCTTTTTTAAGACAAGACATTAAAGCACATTTACATTTTAACTTAAATAAGCTTTTTTTTAAGATTTTATTTATTTATTTGACACACAGAGAAATCACAAGTAGGCAGAGAGGCAGGCAGAAAGAGAGGGGGAAGCAGGCTCTCCACTGAGCAGAGAACCCAATGTGGGACTCAATCCCAGGACCCTGAGATCATGACCGGAGCAGAAGGCAGAGGCTTAACCCACTGAGCCACCCAGGCACCTTTTTTTTTTTTTAAAGTAGGCTCCACCCAGCAGAGCCCAACTCACCACCCTGAGATCAAGACCTGAGCTGAGATCAAGGGTCAGACGCTTAAGCAACTGAGCCACCCAGGTGCCCCTTAAGCTTTTAAAAATGGAAAAAAAACAAACAAAACAAACAAACAAACAAACACCTGATGCAGAAGAGCAAGGGGAAAATTGCTGGAGTACTGCCTTCCAGCGGACCAGAGGGCATGAAAACAGTGCACAAGTAGAGGGCATGGCCTAAGGGTGGAGCACAGACAGGAAAAAGAAGGCAGAGTCTATGGGAAATCATGAGCACAGATGCAGGTGGCAGATGGTGTGAAATTCTCTTCTGATGGCTTCCACTTTTCCAGTGACATGAGAATTAGAGGACAAGGGGGGAAATGTGGAAGGTCGGAAGAATGAGAAATCTCAGTAGCAGCCCAAGAGGGTGGGAGGATGAGGAGCTTATGGGACTGTGGTGATGACTGTCCATGTGAGGCTCACGGTCACACACTTAAAGTGGGAACAGTCAGTACGGTTGCGGGGTTTTCTCCAGGCTCCTTCGGCCTGGGTGCAGGTTCTGAAAGCCGAATCTAACCATCATTGGATCTTCTCCACTCCAGCGACCTCCTCAGTGGTCTTTCCTGATCATCAATTCTAAAGGTGTCCTACTTCTCAAATTCTTGCTATGACATCACTTTGTCGTCGCTACCTTTACCTAACTCCGCACCCCAACGCATCCACAAGCCCCCAACCCCCGGAACCATAAACCTGTCTGTATCGTTCACAACCCTATCCCAAGGCCCAGAACAGGGAGTGCCTGGGCCACAGCAATCCCTCAGTAACAAAAGAAATACCTATATCCTTGAGGGAAAGTGCACTATAAACAGTAAAAAGGTTTTAACACGGGAAGGGATTATTACATTTGTCGTACTCATCGCTGGTCGTCAACCTGTAAACTGTAATTAATTCTAAGGGGACAGACGTGATCGCCGAAGTGATAAGCAATCACCACTAGTGTCACTTCGGCAACGGACACTTGAATGCTAGGCCCTGGCGGGGTCTCCGACTCCCACAGGATCGCGGTGCACCCCTCAGAGTCCCCGACCCGCTGGGGAAAGCCAGACCGCCAGGAACTTCACTTTCCGCAGCACAGCGCCCGAGCGACTCAGCGCCCCGCATCGGCTGGCACTGCGCTCTGCACACACCCGTGCACACCCTGCACATCTGCGCCGTCCCTCCGACGCGCAGCCGTCCATCCTCCTCCTCCTCCACAAGAGATCTCGGGGCCGCAGGCGGCGCTCCCCAGACAGCCGCCAGCGGCCCTCCGCCCACGCGCGCTCCCCCCAGTCCCCGGGCTCGGGCGGCTAGTGGGGCCGCGGGTACAACAGCCCTGGGCCGCCAGACTCGTGCCCCTCGGACCCCTCGGGCCCGGCGCCCAGCCACACCCACCCTCACAGAGCGCCCGCAGACCCTCACCTGCTGCAACATGACGGCCCTGCGCCAGCCCCACTTCCGGGAGCCACGTCAGCGTCGCAGCTGACGCGACCTGGTCGCCACAGGAGGGGAGGAGCAAAGCACAAGCCCGGCCCACTCCCACTTCCGCTTCCAGGTGCTTCGCGGAGCGGGGAGAGGGGGAGTAACGGGGGGGCGGTACGAGCTCCGGGCGGAGCGCGAGGAAGGCTGGCGTCCCGCCGGCTTGGCGAGCTCGGGACGGAGCGGGAGGGCGGCCGGCTGCCCCGGAACGGAGCTACCATGTGGGCGGGGTTTCTGGGGCGGGACGAACTCAGAGGGCGGAGCGAACTCGGGGACGAGGCTCGCGCGAGCGTGGTGGGCGGCCCGGGGGCGGGGCGACGTGTGAGCGGGGCGTCCGGGGCGGGGCGGGTGGCCCAGGGGCGGGGCTAGCGGGAGCCTGGACTAGTGAGTTTAGTGGGCGGGGAAGCACGGACTGTGCAGGGGCGGGGTCTGGTCCAAGCTGGATCCGAAGACAGGCTCGCTTCTAACAGCATCAGCTACGCTCCCGCACTCTCGGTCAACTTCAGGGTGAAAGCTTTGTGGTTTGGCACGTGGGGATGTGGTTGCCCGCGTTGGTATCCCGAGAGCGAGGGGTGTGGAGGACGGGCCTTATTACAATACAGTTGCATTTTGTTTGAATGTTTTACACTGTATGTACATGTATTATTTTATGTGTACCTTAAATTATAGAAGCAACTGAAAAAGATAAAGGTGCTCTTGCAAAGAGGTGGAAGGGCATTAAGAAGAAACCAGGCAGAGGACTGTATACAATGGAGAGTTTTGTTGTTGTTTTTTAAGATTTTAGTTATTTGACCAACAGAGATCACAAGTAGGCAGAGAGGCAGGCAGAGAGAGATGGAGAGGGAAGCAGGCTCCCTGCTCAGCAGAGAGCCCAATGCAGGGCTTGATCCCAGGACCCTGAGATCATGACCTGAGCCAAAGGCAGAGGCTTTAACCCGCCGAGCCACCCAGGTGCCCCACAATGGAGAGTTTTATCTTGGGAGGAATACAGGCCAGGAAACAGGAATAGAGGTTGAGAGCATGGATTTGAGTCCCCGCTTTTCCAGGTACCCAGCTAACCTCAATGTACGTCTTCACTCAGTTGTAAAGTGGGGTTGATAATGGTATCCGTACAGGTTCAGTGTGCTTAGTAAATAGTGAATGTAATTCTTACTACTGTTTTAAGTTTAATCGCTGGAGATGTCATTTTGCTCTGTGAAGGACCTGACATTCAGGGACCTCATATCCTCCTTGAAACTGTGATTATAACAATGTGACTGTAGCGATATCCTGTCTGCCTGGCCCACATCAGAGGGCTGTTGGGAGACTCATGGAATAATGTGTGTTAGCACATTTCCTTCACTGAGGGGATCCTTTCCATAGAAATCACGATTTTTACATGGCTGTTTACTAGTGCTGCATTAACTCTTTTGTTAGGATTTTATTTATTTATTTGAGAGAGAGTGAGTGAATGGGAGGGAGACGGAGAGAGACTCTGAAGCCAACCCCACACTGAGCCCAGAGCCAACCTGGGCTCCTTCTGATCTTCCTGGGTTTAATTAATTTGCTAGAGGGGTTCACAGAACTCAGGGAAACTTACATGTACCAGTTTATTAAAAGATTTAGATGAACAACCAGATACAGACACACAGAGCCAGGTCTGGGAGGGTCCATGGAGTTGGGGTACCTCACCCAGTACATGGATGTGTTCACTAACCTGGAAACTCTCTGAATCCCATGCTATTAAGTTTTTATAGAAGCTTCATCACGTAGGCATGAGGGATCATTAACTCTATTTCCAGCCCCCCTCTCTCCTCTTTGGAGGATTAGGGGAGTTGGGGCGGGGCTTAAATATCCAAGCTTCTAATCCTGGCTTAGTCCTTCTGATGACCATTCCCCCATGCAGGAGCCATCCAGGAGCCCACTCTGAGTCCCCTCATTAAAACAAAATATGCTCCTAGTGTTTCTATCAGTTAGAAATTTATTAGGGTTTCAGAAACTCTATGCCAGGAACTAGGGGCAGAGACCAATATATATTTTCTATTATCCTACGCTATCCGATGGTCATGCTCAGCCACCGAGGAGAAGCTACCCCTTTGGATAGGGCTTGAACTCTCCAATAGGCTATAGCTCCCATAGTGTATGGCACCCTTTTCAATTACCTGCCTGGTCCCTGACACCATCCTTGGAAGGTCTGGGTGAAAACATCAACACACTTGATATTAGTGTTCCTCTTTGAAGAAAAGATGAGTATGGTCAATTCTGTTCCATAGAGGTTAGCTCTGAGAAGGAAAAGAACACATAATGTTCTCAAATGCAATAGGTCAACCTCACTGAGGGCTTCTCCTTTTAGATTCTTAATTGAAGGGGCACCTTAATTGAAGGGTGACTCAGTTGTTAAGCGACTGCCTTCAGCTCAGGTCATGATGCCAGGATTCTAGGATGGCACCCCACATCAGGCTCCATGCTCGGCAGGATGCCTGCTTCTCCCTCTCCTACTCCCCCTGCTTGTATTCCCTTCTCTCCCTGTGTCTCTGTCAAATAAATAACATCTTTTAAAAAAAAATAGATTCTTAAGTCATTGAGTTTCATCAGGCTTCTGTGCAAATATACCAGGGAATTCCAGTGCATTCTTATGATACAATCCCATCAGTTCATTTGCTACCAGAATGATGGCACTAAATTGGTGGTGATGAGTGGTATCTAATTTCCAAAGGTCACTTTCCCATCACCCACCTGAAGCTGGATTTTCATAAGTTTCATTAAATGGTTTCCAGTGGGACTACAGATGCCAGTCTCTCCCAGCAACACCCCCCTCCCTGCCTCTGTTTTCTTGATTTGATCTTAATCAGTCTTTTGGCTTATAGGAAGATGATTAAGACCTCCCACACTGCCAAGGGACAATCCAAAATAAACAAGCAAGCAAAACAAAAAGGACAAACACCAACATCCACTTGGGTTCTCTGTTTATTGTAAGATGTTCATTTCCCAAGGCTGGTTCAGATAAATACGTTTTGTCCAAGTTCAGGGGCTGCTGTCTTCCCTTGCCTCATGAAATGATCGATCGGCAGGCCTTTGATCTTCCTGATCCAGGCAGCTCTGCTAGCTTTTTCTGGACTGACCACGTCTCTGGGCTTTCTGGCCTGGAACTCCTTCATTTTGGCCTCCCTATACTCCTTCTCCTCCTTTACGGTCAACAACATGAACTCGGTGTTCATTCTAAAGGGATCAAGGGTCGTGTAGAAACGAGGTCGATCTTTCTTGATGGACTTGGTTCTCATGCCCACGGAGGGAGCCAGCATGCGGTTCGGTTTAATGACCTGCAGGCTGGTTAAAGGGCTACAGCTACGCGCTGTCCCGCCGATGGGGCCAGTCGCTTGGTCTTCTCCCTTAAGGCCACCAGCAAATCTGGGGTAGACGATCACAGGCTGGGGTATGGTGGACTGGACTCGGGGACTGTGCAAAGAGTTCTTCAGGTTGGGCTGCAGTTTCTGGATCTCCAGGGGAATATTGGTTTGCTTCACGTCGATGGGTGGGTTGCTATGTCGCAACCTGTTAACTGCCTGTTGGACCGATATTCCTTTGAAATTCAGAACCTTCCTTGGGTGTGAAATTGAAGGTCCCCAGGCATCAATGACTTGGGTTTGGGGCCTCCGGGGATAGGCGAACTCCCCTGACTTATGGGCCTGCTGCAGGGCATTCACCGTGAGAAGGAACTGGTCCGGTGACATGGGGATTTGCCAGCGCTTTTTCTTTGAGTTCCTGATCAAGTCTCCAGGTGGAACTTTCTCCTTGTCCTCTGGGTTTTCAAAAACGAAAAGAAAACAGAAGCAAGTCAGAGTGTGCCATGAAAACTGGTAAGTAGTTATGCATGAAAGTTAAACCCATTCTTTTTTTTTTAAAGATTTTATTTATTTATTTTTCTTAAAAAAAAAAGAGAGAGAAAGAAAGTCGAGTTCGAGGGAACACACCTCAACATAATAAAGGCCATATATGACAAACCCACAGCTAACATCATACTCAATGGTCACACACACACAAAGGAATATTACACAGCCATAAAAAGGATGAGATCATGACATTTGAAACAACACAGTAGACCTGGAGGGTATTATGCTAAGTGCAATAAGTCAGACCAAGAAAGACAAATACATCATTTCATTCATAAGTGGAATCTTTAAAAAATGAATAAACAAATAAAAAAATCGACCTATAAATACAGAGCACAAACAGATGGCTGCCAGAAGGAAGGTGGTGGGGGCTGAGCAAAACAGGTAACGGGAAGTGGGAGACACAGGCTTCCAGTAAGGAAATGAATAAATCATGGGAATAAAAGGCATAGCATAAGGAATGCAGTCAATGAGACTATAATAGGGATATATATGGGGACAGATGGCAGCTAGACTTGTAAACACACTATAATGTATAAACTTGTCAAATCATTATGTTGTACATCTGAAACTAATGTAACCTGTGTGTCAACAGTACTCAAATTTTTTAAAAAGGAATTGTGATGACTCATTGTTCATTAAGGTATTTTTTCGTATAATAATATATTGTGAATCTCTTTCCAAGTCACCGTATGTGGGTCCTCGTGATACAATTTTTAGCTATTAGATAATATTCCACAGTATGAAATTTTCCATATTGACTTAGTCATTGCCCACTGGTGGACATTTCGTTAGTGATCAACTTTAAAAAAAATGTAAATACCATTTTTACTTATCATATAAGCAAGCACAAAATGATTGGATAACACGTATTTGGGCATGGGTAGAGTAGGAGCTCTCACTCATTGTTGGTGGGACTATAAATAGATCTATCATTTTTTAAGGGTGACTATGATAATATCTTTCTAAACTTTTTAAACTTTTGTTTATTTTTTAAGTAACCCCCTCAAGGTGGGGCTTGAACTCATGACCCTGAGATCAAGACCTGAGCTGAGATCAATAGTCAGATGCTTAACCAACTGAGCCACCCAGGCATCCATCTAATTTTTTTTTTAATCCAAAGAAAATTTATCAGTTATGCTAGTGTCCTCCTCTTTTTTTATTATTTAAAAACATTTTTAATTCTAGTATACTGAATATACAGTTTATATTAGCTTCAGGTGTATAATACAGTGATTCTGTACATTCCCCAGTGCTCATCATATACCCTTGACCTATTTTACCCACCCCCCACCTGGTGTCCATCAGTTTGTTCTGTACAGTTAAGGGTCTGTTTTTTGGTCTTTTTTAATTTGTTTCATTTGTTTCTTAAATTCCACATAGGAATGAAATCATACAACATTCGTCTTTCTCTTTTATTTCACTTAGCATTATAGCCCTTAGATCCATCCATGTTGTTGCAAATGAAAAGGTTTCATTCCTTTTCATGATTGAGTAATATTCCTCTCTCTCTCTCTCTCTCTCTCTCTCTCTGTGTGTGTGTGTGTGTGTGTGTGTGTACACCACCTCTTTTTTTTCCAATTTTTTTTAATTTTATTTATTTATTTATTTGAGAGAAAGCATGAGTGGGAAGGGCAGAGGGAGAGAGAACCTGAAGCAGACTCTGCATAGAGTCCCAATGCAGGGCTAGATCTCATGACCCTGAGATAACAACATGAGCCAAAGCCAAGAGCCAGCCACTTAACCAACTGAGCCATCCAGGTGCCCCATTACCTTTCAGATTTTTAAAGGCACTTTGGCTCAGCAATGCAACTCCTAAGACTTTACCCTACAGGCATACCGATACAGGTACCTAAACATAGGTATATACAAGGATTCCCATTGTTAGTACAGCCCTTCTAAAACTTAACTGTTTCACCCTCACCCTGAAGCTGGTCTCTCCAGGGAGTTTGATTCAAAGAACCACTATTATATTAGCCAAAAATATTGCAAAGGCATTTTAAATCTTTACCGAAATCTCTCTCAAAAAAACAACAAAGGGACACCCTATTCATGATGACACACCAGTCCAAGAAGTGAGAAGTCTCAGTGGCCCGACAAGGGAAGAAGGCTGTGAGCCCCAAACCGGAAAGGCAGCCCTTACAAAGGTGTTTGTGCTGTGGCCTCAAGTTAATAAGGGGACAATTAAGGAAAACCCATCCCCCTTAAGAAAAGTCAGACGTTTTATCCTTCCTGAATTCTCAAAGAGTCACTGATTTGCTGAAACACTAGATGGAACAGAGAGAGTGAGCAATAGAGAGAGGGGAGGGGGGGGGGGAATGTTGCCCCTGATCTGGAGTAAAATATCACCGTTCGTTGTATCTCCTGTGAGGGATTTTGCTTCCAAACTCTCTTGCCCACCATCAATGCCGCGTGCTTCCTTAGAAAGAGCACTCACTCTCTTCTTGCCATCTCTCTGGGGTGATTTTGACTTTCTTTGACTTTTAGGTCCCTCTGATAAGACTTCTAAATGAAGATTGAGGAGGAAATCATTGTAATTACATAATTCAATGAGGTCTAAATAATGGGGGCATAGCTGGTAATTTGGCTGATTCTCACCCAAACCGTCACCTAGTTGTTTGTTGTCATATGACACTAGGTAAGCCAACTGGAGCCAAAGGCTACAGCCCCTCCTGCCTTTCCTCTCACCCACTTTTTCAACTGACTGTCAAGTTTTACACATTATCTACACTGGCTGGCCTCTGTCCTCCAAAGAGAGCTAATCATTTGTCTGTGTAACGTACCAGGACGTGACCTCTTAATGTTCTCTGTAGACCTGTGGATTGAGTTCCACATGCCAAATGCAGGACAGATGAAAGGAAGGAGTCTGGATACTCTAGCCCACACCTAAATTATTCTTTGTGTCTTAAAATGGCATTCCATATCACACACACACACACATTTCTGCTTCTTAACTAATATTTTCTGGGAATGTATGTTATCAATCAGGACTCTAGAAATAATACATTCTGCCTAGAACATTATTCTGTGGCATAGTAATAGCTCGTCTCTGTTCTAAGGAAATTATTATGTAATGTATGTTTGGATGGGGTGGAGAGTGTTGGTTTCTGGCTTGAAAGGCAAGTACAAAGGGTCAGTGTTATCTACTATACAAAGATTCTAGTATGTCTGGTAAACCCAGGCCTTGAAAATCAGGAGATCCTCTTGAGCTGGAGAACAGGATCCCATCTTCCTTAGTAGTTAGGATTTACATCATAAAGAAATCATTGGCTAAAATATCCTACGAAAAAGCTAGTCCTGCCACCACCACCACCACCACCTGCTCCATTAGGAACCACCGAGGTGGCCTGGGATTCAGCCCCCTTACCTGTAGGTACCCTGGTGTCCTTCAGGAAAACTCGGGACCTGTATGGTTTACTTAACAGGGACTCCTGACCCACAGTTTGTTTACTGGACATCGAGTCCCTCAGGCTGAAAACCTGAGTGCTAGACCTGGAGGCGACTTCGGTGAGGTCATTTTCTTCCCTGTCCTCATCTTTATCTTTCTTCTTTTGTTTGGCCTGGTCCATGGAGTACTGCCACTTTATATTCTCAAACTGGAACATGAGAATATTGCTCTCAGTGTTGATCACCATCCTGGAACCGAAACAATAAGATGGCCCACAAAAGGCAAGAAGGCCACCACTGCCCAGCCTCCGAATATGCATTTCCAATACTGTCCCATCCAACCGTAAGCCTGAGGGAACAGTGCCTGAGATGTGACTGTACAAAGAGGGTGGTGGAGGCTGTTAGAGGGTCTGGAATGGTGAATGGTCGCAGACCAGGCAATGGGGGGGGCGGGGAAAAGGGTCCTCTTGAAAATTAACTGTAAGCAGGGCACGGATGTTCTGATTCCTTCACTTTTCAAGTTAAAATATTTTTTTTCAATATTTTATTTATTTATTTGACAGAGAGAGAGATCACAAGTAGGCAGAGAAGCAGGCGGGTGGTGGGGGAGGATCCCCGCCGAGCACAGAGCCCGATGCGGGGCTCAATCCCAGGACCCTGAGATCATGACCTGAGCCAAAGGCAGAGGCTTAACCCATTGAGCCACCCAGGTACCCCTCAAGTTAAAATATTTTTAAATGAATTTCTGTTTCATAGAGTGAGTACCGAGTCCCTAGCGTGCCCCAAGCAGAAAGGTTACGGACTCTGTACATTGATGTCTTGAAATTCACTTTTTTTTTTTTTAAAGCACAGTATCTAAATGCCATGTTTTATTGCTGTGATGGGGATAAAGAGAACTCTAGTGGGAGGGACTCTGCTCCCTTGCTGACCCTCCCACCCATCTCTGTCCCTCTGTCCTTAAACGGTCTCTACGTATGCTCTGCATTTAAACAAAAGAGTTGTGCTTTATAAAGCAGGATGATTTCCATCTTTCCTAATGCACATGTTTATGCCCTGGTAGGAAAAAGAGTTCTAAACCTGGGCCCCCTAGCAGGGACCGCCAACCACCCACTGGTTTCTGACATTCTCAAAGTTCACAGAGCTCATTATCTACCCTACTCTCTGCCTAGATCTCCTAGAAGTATAAAGGAGCAAGGGAGATAACATGTGTGGGTTCCTTTGCGTTCCAAAAGGCTGAATTTTAAGACCTTCACGGTTAGTGTAAACTCTCTTAAAGAGTGACTTGTTTGGGGATGCCTGGATGGCTCAGTCCATTAACCTGCTGCCTTCAGCTCAGGTCATGATCCCAGGGTCCTGGGATGGAGTCCCACATCAGGCTCCTTGCTCAGCGGGGAGCCTGCTTCTCTCTCGGCCTCCACCTGCCACTCTGCCTGCTTGTGCTCTTTCTCTCTCTGACAAATAAATAAATAAATAAAATCCTTTTTTAATTAATTAATTAAAAAGAAAAAAAGTGACTTGTTTTGGTTAGAAATGCTAGCATGGAATTTGGAGAATCATTCCGATTAGGATTCCCTTTCTGACTCATTTTTACTCAGGTCCAAAGGCAAATGTCTCTCTTCAGACGTCATAAAAAAGAAAAGGTCAGAGGTAAATTTTTTTTAATGGCACTATTACTTTGAAACTGAAAAAGTGTCCCTTGATGGAGACTTCTTACCAGTCCTGCCCCTTTTAGATGGGAAATAGCCCTAGTATGGTTTCATTAAAAGGAAGGCAACACAGTTAGGAAAGATGGACAGATATCTCAAGTGAATGCAAAAGTTAATTCTATTTGGGTATTTTCACATACTATCACCCCGAACCTAGCCTATGACAAATACAGTATGACATACACATGGTCACAGTTCTGGTTTCTGTAAAACTCACCTGCTCAGCTCTGCGCCACCAGACACTGGACCCCCTGTTCCTACCATCCCACTCCCCGCCTGTAAGTCTCTGTGCATCAGAAGCGAGCATCAGAGATGGCTGGTCAGGGAGCAAACGGGGCTGCCCATTTAGAGCAGGGTCATACCGTACTCACTGCCTGATTGGCCCAGACATCCAGAACAAATTCCGAGTGACATGAACCCTGCTTGCTAAGCTTTGTGCAACGTCCGATCCACGCCCCCCATATGACTATTGACCCTTCTCCAGCCAAAATTGGAGGGTACCATGGCACCCTCTCTCCTACTGCCAGCAAATGCAGGGCTGGCATCCCAGAGGAGAAGAAAATGATCCAAACGGAAGAGCTCACAGCCCTGACCTCCACACCTACCACCCTACCTGTTGCCCTGAATAAAGAAGGACAGCACAGGATCACCTCTGCCATTGACTTTCATCACCTTCAGACAGTTCCCATTGAGGAAACTGTAAATGCGGATCTTGCCATCGGCACAGGCACTGATGACCCGGAGGAAGAGAAGGGCCACGTGAAGCACCTCCCTGGAAGGAAACAGAGCAACAGGCAGTACTTGTCTTCTGGGAAACTGCGTGGGTTTGTTTGTAGCTTGGAGGATTTTGTGTGCATGCCTGGAAACCATTGGTCATGACTGCCCTCCCTGTGATGTCTGCCGTCACTTCATAATTCCGGATGTAAGCTATTAACCCTCAAGACATGCTTGCACCCTCTCCTCCCATTCTGCTGTCACATATTCTGCAAATTGGTCACAGTGCCACAGAATAGCAACAGGCAAAGGCTTACGTCATCGTGGCTCTTTGTTTTGTTTTGCATTGGTCTGATACGGAGGCAATCATGGTTTTTCTCTTACAGTTTGGTTCCTACCTACTGACTTCTACAAAAGTCATGCAGAGAAGTACTTAATGTTGTGATTCCTTTTCAAATAGCATTATTGGGTAAAGAAAGAACAGAACGGGTGGGAAAATGATCATCTTTCTATGAAGCAAGAACCTGATATCTCAGCATTTTCTTTTGGGTCTTAAATAGTGACTTTCAGGTGCGCCTGGGTGGCTCAGTGGGTTAAGCCTCTGCCTTTGGCTCAGGTCATGATCCCAGGGTCCTGGGATCGAGCCCCACATCGGGCTCTCTGCTCAGCAGGGAACCTGCTTCCCCCCTCTCTCTCTGCCTGCCTCTCTGCCCACTTGTGATCTCTGTCTGTCAAATAAATAAATAAAATCTTAAAAAAAAAAAATTAGTGACTTTCAGTCTTTCAGTGAAACATCCTAAAGAAACACCGTACCCAGGGATGAGACACAGGCATTCCCTTTGGTGGTGACCAGCAGAAACAGAGAGAGGACCAGAAGACTTAGATACCTCCAATAAAACATTCCTACAACATCTGCAGCCAACTGGGACTCCAGACAGGCTGAAGTATTCAATTCTGCAAAATGTAATTACCCTACTCCTGGTAATGATACTAAGAAGTTGAATCTGGTGCCACCAATTAGTTGGATCTTATATGCAAATCAAGTCCTTCAATCCCTGTCATCTGTACCTATCCAAGCCCCACTCACATGCTACCTTCTCCGTAAAACCACCCTTTATCTCCATTTCCCCTTTCCCGTGCACACATACACGAACTTAAGGCACACTGTAAGATTCTCTGGGGCAGAACACACATCCTCTTCATCTTTGCATCCCCAGCACCTAACACAAAGCCTAGCCCATAGAAGAAGGTTCTCAGTAAATATCTGTTGAAATGGTGAGTGTCAGCTCAATTTCAGAGTATGATCCTTGATACAGTGGGTTAAAAGCATGACATCCACCCCATACCATGCAGCCCTGATCAGATCCAAGAGCCAGATTAAGAAGTTTCAAAGACCCAACCACTAGCAAAATAGAAACAACAAAGACTTTGAAAGGCAGGAATATGCTTAGAATGTTCAAAGGACAGCAAAAAGGCCAATGGGGCTTGTGTGATGGAGAGCTCAAGCCATCAATTGATCACTCATTCTGAAGTGTAAAAAAAATGTAAAAGAAGTCCAACAAGGTTCTCGTTTTATGTCTAAGATGGAAATATAATACATTTATTGGTGTCTTAAGTGCATCTTAGTCTACCTATAGAGAGAATCCAGAGCTAAGAGAGATGGCCCTGTGGTAGAAGTGTTTGACTCTTTCTGTACCTCTTTTGATTTTATGGAGCTGGACCTACACTTCTCATCGGCTCCTGTGGCATTTAATATTTCAACCTATACCATTATGGCCTAGTAATATAATAGAGCACAGGCTTTAGGATCAGAAAACCTGGGTCCAAACTTGGGTCTACCACTTCCTGGCTGCATAACCCTAAAAAAGTAACATGACTCTCAGTCTTTAGTTTTGTCTTCTATGAAAAGGAGGTAGTGATTTCTGCCTCAGAGGACTGCTGTCAGGATTAAATTAATGGAGGTATTTTTCAAACAGCCCAGTATCTGACACAATAATGATTACTAGGAACCTGTCATAGCTCCACCTGCATTCAGGTTTTCTCTCTCCCCTAAAAAAAAAAAGTCATTTCTTTCTTAAATCTCCTTCTTTGTTCTTTCTTAATCAAAAGACACTGCAGAGGGGAGCCTGGGTGGCTCAGTGGATTAAAGCCTCCGCCTTTGGCTCAGGTCATGATCCCGGGGTCCTGGGATCAAGCTGCGCATCGGGCTCTCTGCTTGGCAGGGAGCCTGCTTCCCCCCACCTCCCCGCCTCTCTGCCTGCCACTCTGCCTACCTGTGATCTCTGTCTGTCAAATAAATAAAATCTTTCAAAAAAAAAAAAAAAAAAAGACTGCAGAGAGAGATGTCAGGAAGAATGGTGGAAGAAGGAACTCCAAAATCCTACCCTTCCATAAAAACAATGAAAAAACTGGCAAAAACTGGCAAAATTAACTTTTTCAGAACTGTGGAAAATAACCAAAGGCTTGCAGCAACGCAAGAAGCACTCAGACAAAGGATGGCTTTGTGTCAATAAGAAGAGTGAACTTTGTGGTATATTAACTTACCCAACTCCCATTCCCAACTCCCCAGCTCACTGGTAACCATGAAAGTAACAGCCCACATTCCTGGTACTAGAGGAAACAGAACCAACCTCCTTCACAATGAATTATTTGACCTCTGTCATGGCTTCCTGGAAGACTGGTTCAAAAAGCTTGTCTTTATTTTGCTTTAGTAGGAACTCACCCAATGCTAAAGCCGCTACCTGGGGAGTATTCTTTGAAGGCCTTGACAGTCAAATCTTGTAGTCACTGCTGCCTAAGGCAATAGACATCTGTTGGAGCAAGCAATACACTAACCAAAAAGATTTAATGTTAAAGCTGGGGAATAAAATGTCCATTAGGGCTTTGAAATGCTCAGACACATTCCTGGGACTCTATGTGGCCATATACAGAGCTGTGCACACACTGAGGAAAGACCTCACTCTTAGCTGACCTTGATGTTCTCCGCAAACAAAAGTGAGAGCTAAGGCAGAGTTGTAAACTGTCTAGCGGAGTGTTGAAAGTTTCCCTCAACAGGTACACAGAGCCCCTTGGCAAAAAAAAAAAAAAATGGGAGATATTTTACTTCCAGGTGTTCAAATAAACCTATTCCACTCAGTCACCACCAAGGTAATAGAATAGAGACTTCAGCGGCCAAACAAGACAATATACAGACTCACTAAGCAAACACATAAGAAAAGCCACAACAGGCAACAGTGAAAACAAACCCTGGGAATGGGGAAGAATTTGATTTCCAGAGATGTCCTATTAAAATATCCAAAATGCCTAGTTTTCAAATAAATATTTTTAAAAAATAAATAAAATAAATAAATATATAAATATATAAATATATATATATATATATACATATATATATAAAGTATAAAAAGATACTGAAGAGGGGCGCCTGGGTGGCTCAGTAGGTTGAGGCCTCTGCCTTCGGCTCAGGTCATGGTCTCAGGGTCCCGGGATCGAGCCCCGCATCGGGCTCTCTGCTCAGCGGGGAACCTGCTTCCTCCTCTCTCTCTGCCTGCCTCTCTGCCTACTTGTAATCTCTGTCTATCAAATAAATAAAATCTTTATTAAAAAAAAGATACTGAAGAGTATATACAGGGGAAAAAGTAATCAATTGCAAAGGTCTGCAAGGAAACCCAATGGTTAGACTTTCTAGATGAGACTTTATTCTAAACATGTTCAAATAGCAAATAAAAACAGGTCTAAAAAAGTAAAAGTAAGAAAACAGTGTCTCACCAAATAGAGATTACCAATAAAGAGTTAGAAATTATTTTTAAAAAATTTCAAATAGAAATTCTGGAGTTGGCACCTGGGTGGCTCCATTGGTTGAGCATTTGCCTTCGGCTCAGGTCATGGTCCTGGAGTCCTGGGATCGAGTCCTGCATCAGGCTCCCCGCTCAGCGAGGAGCCTGCTTCTCCCTCTCTTCCCCTTTTGTGTTCTCTGTCGCTATCTCTGTCTCTCTCTCTCTCTCAAATAAATAAATAAAATCTTTTTTTTTTTAAAAGAAAGAAATTCTGGAGTTGAGGGGCACCTAGGTGGCTCAGTCATTAAGTGTCTGACTTTGGCTCAGGTCATGATATCAGGGTCCTAGAATCCAGCCCTGCATCGGGCTCCCTGCTCATCAGGGATCCTGCTTCTCCCTCTCCCTCTCCTACTCCTCCTGTTTGTGTTACCTCTCTTGCTGTCTCTCTCTCTGTCAAATAAATAATCTTAAAAAAAAAAAAAAAAGGAAGAAATTCTGGAATTGAAAAATTAAGTAATGGAAATGAAAATTCACTAGAGGAGCTCAGCAATACATTCATGTAGGCAGAACAAGCAAAGGAAAGAGAGGTCAATTTAGATTTTTCCAGGCTGAAGAACAGAAAGAAAAAAGAATGAAGACAAATGAACAGAACCTCGGAAACCTGTGTGACATCATCAAACCGCAACACACGGGTAGTAGGAATCCCAGAAAGAAAGGAGAGAAAGAGGCAGAAATATTTAAAGAAATCATGGCCAAAAGCTTTGCAAATACAATGGAAATCATTAATCTACACATGCAAGAAGCTCAACAAATTCAAACTGTGATAAACTAATGAGATCCACATCTAGACATATCATAATCAAACTGGAAAAAGCTAGAGACCAAGAGAGTATTGAAAGGATCAAAACAGAAGCAGCTCATCACATAAAAAGGATCCTCAGTAGTATCAACAAATGAAGTAGTATCAACAACTGATTTCTCACTGGAAACCATCAGAAAATATGGAGGCCAAAGGCAATGAAATGACATATTCAAAGTGCTGAAAGGAAAAAATAACTATAAACCAAGAACTCTATATCCATCAAAACTGTCCTCAAAAATGGGGGAATTGGGGCACCTGGGTGGCTCAGTGGGTTAAAGCCTCTGCCTTTGGCTCAGGTCATTGTAAGGGCCTGGTTGGCCAGAGGGAGTCATTTTGTGTTTATGTAGTGAACTTAGATTGACCCGGCCCCTCCCAGAGGAACTTACTTGCAAAGCCTAGATACAAGGGCTGGTCAGGCCAGGTGAAGACATCCAATCAGTGGGGCACGCATATATCTACTAGGGTAAATTGAAATTCAATTGGCCACCCGTGTGTTACCTAGCAGTTTTTTTCTGTGTGTGGCAGACTTAGCATGACTGTGCAGTGTTCTCTGCGTATTGCAATCTCATTGACCACCTATGTATAGCCCAGCTAAACTACCTCTATAAAAGTTAGTCTGTGAGGCTGGGAGGGGTTGCCTCTTTGCAAGAGACGGCCCTGACTGGTCAGTTTGATTCTCGATGCTTGGCGCGAAATAAAGCTTTGCTTGACCTTCGCTTTGTATCAGTCTTGCTCCTTTGATTACGGACCCTAACAGTCATGATCTCAGTGTCCTGGGATCGAGCCCCACATCGGGCTCTCTGCTCAGCGGGGAGCCTGCTTCCCCCTTTCTCTCTGCCTGCCTTTCTGCCTACTTGTGATCTCTGTCTGTCAAATAAATAAATAAATAAAATCTAAAAAAAAATTTTTTTAAATGGGGCAATTAAGGGGTGCCTGGGTGGCTCAGTGGGTTAAGCCTCTGCCTTTGGCTCAGGTCGTGATCTCAGGGTCCCGGGATCAAGCTCCACATTGGGCTTGCCTCCCCCCTTTCTCTCTGCCTGCCTCTCTGCCTACTTGTGATCTCTCTCTCTCTCTCTGTCAAATAAATAAATAATCTTTTTTAAAAATGGAGAAATTAAGATATTCCCAAATAAACAAAAACTGGGAGTTCACACTAGCAAGAAATGCTATACAGTCTCCTTCAAGCTGGAGTGAAAGGACACTACTAGTAACTGAAATCCGCATGAATAAAGAGCATCAGTAGAGGTAACTACCTAGATAAATATAAAAGACAGTATAAATGTGGTTTCTGTTTATAGGTCTTTTTTTTCTATCTCATTGAAAAGGCCACTACATGAGGCAATAATTATAAGTCTATGATGATGGATACACAGGATATAATCACCTATATCATATTCAAAAGATGGGTACCAGTCCCATCATTAGAACTCTCCAGAAAGGCAACCTGCAAGTCGGTCCTCATTACCAATCAATTAGAAGCACTTCCATGTGCACACCACTACTACAGATGAGTAGAGGAAGGGCCTGACAAACAAGAACATTGACCATGTCCTCTACATAGCTATGGACTTGCTGTAACTGTGAAGGGACCAAGGACCAATGTGAATGAGATGTTGGGGCCGTCATTCAATGTCAATGAGAATGGTCTGAGAAGGTCCCATTGCTGAGGTGGAGTGGGAGGCTCACGGGTTGACAGAATGGCAACCAAACTGCTAGGTTTCCTGGGAACAGATTATTTTCCAATACCTAAACTAAATCCTACAGAATCATGCTTGGAAGGCTGTAATTTTCAGGTGTATCATAAAGTTTGACTCTTGAATTCAAGAATCCAGATGATATGCTAAGAAGCTCGCTGATAATCACAGAAGGGTTGGATAATGCACCAAAGAGAAGCCTTGCCCAGCACCCACTCATCAATGGTGCAGTCATACACACAATGAGTAAATATACACAAAAATGACCCAAATCCCCCTCCTCCCACAAAGTCAGTGTGTGCTCAAGAGGTTCCTATGAAGATATGTGGAAATCTAGGGCCATATTTTACTGAATAACTATCCCAAATAGATCACCTAGAAGATCCATTTACTCCTCTAGTCAATTAGGATAGCATTTTGTTTCCTAGAGTTTTTTATAGTGCACTTAGGGGAAGAAGCATTATTCATGTAGTATAAGAGGGACCCAGAGCAAACTATAAAACCCATGCCCATGAAAGAACCATGAACTGACCACAATATCCCTTCCAAGTAAGCTCAGATGTGACCTCAGACTACTTCTCAATTGGCTCCAAGCACCACCCCCACAAAATTGGGACTGGAATTATAAAATGAGATCCATTTGCTGTCCTGGAATGGAATGTAGCCAGCAGACTTGTAAGAAAGCTCCTTCTTTAAGCCTTTAAGTTACTTTTAAACCTTGGTCACCCTTGGGTGACTTTAAGCTTTTGTGAACATAAGCTTCCTGTAGTAAAGACCGACAAACTCCAAGTATTTTAATTTTCCTGGAACTGGCAATCTTTGGGACAGTTCTGTCAATATTCCTTAGTAGACAACGGATACAAACGTATCAGGTGTGTCATAAGCATTAACATTTCAATAACTTGTCAAGATCCACATTGAGTACTGTTATTTCTTAAGAGAAATAAGTGGTGGTGGGAGAGGGAATGGCCAAATGAGGGGGTGGGGCAGGGTGGGGATGGGGAACATGTAGAGGGGACAAAAGGTCAGCAGAGCCTGGAAAGGGCTGATCTGCCAAAAACCAAAGTCTGGCTACAAGGGAAAAGGACAGAGTACTACATTCATCAATGAGGGCTTTCCTACACCTACTTTGGATGCTTGTAGGCCATGAGGCACCGCTCGTACTTTCCCACCATGCTCCAGGCCATGACCAGGCCATCAGTACTTCCCGAGAGGAGGTGCCACTGGTCGCAGCAGAGACACTTCACGGCTCCCTCGTGGCCACTGAGAGTCTGCAAGACAAGAGGCCTCTTTTCAGCCCTCTTCAACTCAGATGGTGAGTCCTCCAAGGGCCCAAGCTGGAGGTGTCTTTCGAGGAACTGCAAAGCCACACTCCACCAATCCATGACTGCCACCTGAGCCAACTTCACTTTTGTTCTAAGAAGGCCAGTGGTGTCTGGACACCAGCTCTGGACCCTCCCCCCAGAGCTCTCTCTCCCCACTGAAAGAAGAATGTGGTCAGGGAGAGGCCTTGCTCCTGGTGGGTCTGTGGCTGGGGCAGGCCTCATCTTCCTGAAGTACCAGAGGCCAAAATCCACCATCCTCTGCTGCCACATGGCATACGGTCAGGCATTCCATCCCTAGCTCCTTGCCAAGACCAGAGGACACCTGGGACACCCCTGCACCTGCAACTGCTGATTAGACCATGGGGACAAGACTGATGGGAAATCCATCAGCCAGGCCAGCAGCTTCTCATTTTGCCCCTGTGTTCCCGGCACCAACAAATCTCACCACCACCCACTAAGGCCACAGGAGTTCAAATCCAGAGATATTTTTTAACATGTGAACATTCAATCGTTTTCAAGACAGCAGATGTTCTCTTTTTACCACAGAGTTAAGGAGGAGAACCACTTTGACTTTGTCCATTCCCTTACCCATGCAAGAGTCAGGGTAAAATGTTCTGGAGAAGGAAAAGTCACTTTACTTCTGCTGCCGTGAAAAGACCCTGAGTCTGTATACTATGCTGAGTCAGAATGTAGCCTTCTACCACCACCTCAATGACATGACCCTCCACTGAGTCAGAATGCCCCTTTTTTGGGGGAGCTCTTCAGGACCCTCCTTTTGGCGACCATAAGTTGGTAGCTTTAGGGTGGTGTGGGGAGTCCTCTGGGGGAGACCCTAAGTTTCCTCCAATCCATCACCACCAGTACCCCATTGCCCCAACAGCCCACCACCCTCTCACCTTTACCAACTGGGCGGAGACAACGTGCCACACTTTGACTAACCCTCGCTCACAACTGCTCACAATGTAGGTGTCATTGATCTTGGTGGCCAAGATGGGGTCTTTGTGTTTAAATGTCTTCAGACACTTCCCTGTCTCTATATCCCACTCTGAAAGGGAGGCAGGAAGAGAAGGGGCATGAAAGCAGGTTACAGTGGAGTTCTGGACCCCATCACCAAAGCCAAGCCCATCAAGTCAGACCCTAGAAGGCTGTCGCCTGGCCCACCACCCCTGTAGGCTCACCAACAGCTCCGTGAGTCTGCAACACAGAGCTCCCTGACCATGGGCTCCTGGGGAAGCCACCATCAATAGACCTTGGCTCCAACCCTAGAACTTAGTGTTGGGGTCCAAGTGCCAGACAGCTCCTCTCTAATAAGGCTCCTCTTGAACCTACAAAATACTTGCTATTGAGTGGATTTCAGGAAAATCATGGCATATGTTCCATGGCACCATGGTTTCCAGACGCTGTTCTCCTGACTCACCCCTTCTAGCTCCAAAAGCAAAGAAAGCTGTCTATCCTTATTTACATTTTAAAGTATCTTTGAATCTGACTTTTGGATTTTACTAACTGACAGATTGCCAGAGCTGGGAGCAGCCTTAATGGTGCTTCTACACAGACATGATAGGGCAACTGCCTAGCACACTGTAAGGGTTGGGAAGATATGAACGTAGCTGGGTAGGTGGGAGAACAGAGCTTAAAGGAAAGAACTGAAAGGAGGCACTACAGATTCAGGGATGAGACCACTGAAATCGGCCTCGTCAGCCCCAAAGTACCTGTCAGGCAACAGAATGTATAACCTAGGACAAAATAATAACCACGACTGATCCTGACACGTAGCACACACAATGAGCCAGGCACCATTGGGAGTGTTTGACATGCATTAACTCATCTTCCCAAGACAGTTGCTATAATGATTCCCCACAGCGCAGATGAGGAAACAGGGATAGAGAAGTTGAGTAGCCCAAGATCACACAGATGGTAAGCAGAATGAGCTGGGATTCGAACCCTAGGAGTCTGGATCCAGAAGCCATGCTCTTAACTGCATATACTAGATTCATCCTAACTAAATAAGTACGCTTTCTTCACATGTTTTTTATATACACATTGGCCCTTTCATCTGATTAGAAAGGAGAATGCTGATGGGCATCTGGCTGGCTCACCAGATGGAGCGTCTGACTTCTCGGGTCATGGTCTCAGAGTCTTGGGATCGAGCCCCATGTTGGGCTCCCGATCAGTGGGAAGCCTGCTTGTCCCACTCTCTCTACACTTTCCCTGCTTGTGTTCTATCTCTGTCTCAAGTAAATGAATAAAATCTTCCAAAAAAAATTTTTTTTTAACAAGTTGGGGGTTACATTTCAGGTCTCTAACATCTCTTTTTCTTTCTATGGGTAACCGAGGGAGCTGGGAGGAGCCCAGGGGAAGCAAGCAGGCTGGGGGATGGGGCTAGGATTAGGGTAAGATCTTTTGAAACTTTTTTCGTCATGTATTTTGTGAATTAATTTTGACATTTTCAATATCGTTTTAAAATGTGTATCTCGAGGGTGCCTGGGTGGCTCGGTTGGTTGAGCAACGGCCTTCGGCTCAGGTCATGATCCTGGACTTCCAGGATTGAGTCCTGCATCGGGCTCCCAGCTCCTTGGGGAGTCTGCTTCTACCCCGACCTTCTCCTCTCTCATGCTCTCTCTCACTCATTCTCTCTCAAATAAATAAATAAAAATCTTTTTTAAAAAAATGTGTATCTTGAGAAGCGCCTGGGTGGCTCAGGTGGTTAAGCATCTGCCTTTGGCTCAGGTTATGCCCTGGGATTGAGCCCCACACTGGGTTCCCTGCTCAGCAGGGAGCCCGCTTCTCCATCTGCCCCTCCCCCCACTCATGCGCTCTCTCTCACACTCTCTCTCTCTCTCTCTCAAATAAACAAATAAAAAAATTTTTTTAAATGTGTATCCTAAACAAGATGGGATTGGGAGGGATACAAACCATAAGAGACTCTTAATCTCACAAAACAAACTGAGGGTTGCCAGGGGGAGGGGGTAGGGAGAGGGTGTTGGGGTTATGGACATTGGGGAAGTTACGTGCTATGGTGAGTGCTGTGAAGTGTGTAAACCTGGTGATTCACAGACCTGTACTCCTGGGGCTAATAACACATTATATGTTAATTAAAATTTTAAAAAATAAAATGAAATAAAAATAAAAATGTGTATCTTGACTACTAGGAGTTTGGGGGGCCCTTCCCCTAGCTCCAGCTCTACCAGTAGCCATGCAAGACTCCCTCAAGTCTGGAGGCCTTGTCTGGCCTTCCAACTCCAAATCTTCTTCCTTTCCTCCTTTCTGCTCCCCTCCTCAAAGCAGTCATGGCAAAGAGACTTTCAGGTCAAGGAGGGCAAAGAGGTAGGGAGTAAGGTTTCTTAAGCAGGTCTGAGGGTTTGCCTATGGAACAACACTCCATTCTTGCTTTCCAGCACCTTCTTCCTCCACCTACCCCTAGCAATGATACGCTTTCCTGGGTCCCTTGCTTCTCTTTTCTTTTGACTCTTTCCTCTTGCTTTGCAGGGGACATGTCATCCACGCCTGGAGCTTCCACCTTTCCTTATAACTGATAACCACCAAATCGCTGTGTCTGGAGCCCCAGACCTGTTATATGGTAAACTCCTATGTAAACTCACACTTCCACCTGCCTCCAGCAATCTTCCCGTCGCTGTCCTCAGGAGTCCCATACCTGATGCCTTAGCTTTCTATTGCCACTGTAACAAATAGTCACAATTGTTTAATAGCTAAAAACAAGACAAATATATTATCGTACAGCAGTCTGGCGTGACCTCCCCATAAGGCTGAAATCAAGGTGACAAGAGAGCTGTGTTCCTTTAGGGAGATTCTGGAGCTGGAGGGACCCATTTCCTTGCCTGTTCCACCTTCTAAGGGCCACCCATGTTCCTCGGCTCATGATCCCCTCCTCCACCTTCAAAGCCAGCAACGTTGCATGTTTCTGACCATTCTTCCAAAGTCACATCTCCTTTTGATCAGATCTGAGAAAATTTCTGTTTTTAATCATCTGTATGATGACCCACAGGCCCACACTGATAACCCAGGATAACCTCTCCACTTTAAGGTCCTCAACTTAATCACATCTGCGAAGTCCCTTTTGCCATATGAGATAGCATGGTCACAGGCTGCAGGGATTAGGACGGGACATGTTCGGTTGGCCATTATTCTGCCTACCATACTCAGCATGTCCAAAAACTCACTGGCCTGAGTTTAAAGGTCTGGCCTCATTGTCTACCCTTCTATCTTCCTCTTCCATATCCAGCTGGTGGCAAAGTCCTCCCAAGTCCCTATAGGAATCGCCCTTCAGTCTGTACCCCCTCATGGAAACTCATATCCCCCTGGCTTTCTTCACGTTTGTCTGTTCTGAGTTGTCTGAAGATGCCACAGTAGCTCTCCAGACTGAGTCGTGTCTCCGCCTGTCGCTTGTCTGCATAGTCCCCCAACTCCAAATCTTCCTTCCACACTATCACTAGTTATCTTTTTCAGACACACAGTTGACCATGTCAGCCTGCAGGTCAAAGTGCATTGATAGCCTCCTGCATTCTATAGGTTAAAGTTCAATTTCCTACCATGATGCAGAAGGCCCTTGATTATCTGGCCCCAAACAAACTAACCAGCTTTATGTCCAACAACACATACTGCAGTCCAGCCATACCGAGCAAGGGGAAATTCCCTAAAGACACCATTTTCTTCAGCCTTCTGTGAATTTGCCTGTGCTGTGCCTTCTGCTTAGAACATCCTACATTCTCCCTCTGCTTGTAGAACTACTCATCCTCAAGCACACACTCAACCCTGGGACGCCTGGGTGGCTCAGTCCATTAAGCATCTGCCTTTGGCTCAGGTCATGATCCCATGGTCCTGGGCTCGAGCCCTGCATCAGGATCCTTGCTCAGTGGGGAGCCTGCTTCTCCCTCTGCCTGCTGTTCCTCCTACTTGTGCAAACTCACTCTCTATCTCTGGCAAATAAATAAATAAAATCTTTTAAAAAAATAAATAGAAAGAAAGAGAGAAAGAAAGAAACACACTCAAACAGCACCCTGTCTGTGATGCTTTCCCTGTTACTCTTACTTCTACAGTCCCTTAGAATTCCACATGTGGGACGCCTGGGTGGCTCAGTCAGTTAAATGTCTTTGGCTTAGGTCATAATATCAAGGTCCAGGGACTGAGCCCGAGTTGGCATCCGCACTCAGAAGGGAGTCTACTTGTCCTTCTCCCTCTCTCTGTCCCTCCCCCTCCTTGTGCTTGCTCTCTCTAATAAATTAAAATCTTAAAAAAAAAAAAATCCACATGTTGGTTAGGAGCCTGTGATTTAGAGTCAGACAGCCCTGGATTTAAATCCCCACTCTATCACTCAGCAGCTCTGATTTTGGGCAAGTTGTTTTTCTCTCCAAGTTTTGGATTCCTCATCTGCCTCCACCACAGAGGCTTCCTGTGAGGGTTAAATTAATAAATAATATGTGTAAAGTACCCGTGTCAGTCACAAAGTTAGTAATCAGTAAGTGGCAGCTATTATTATTCATATATTTATATCCTCAATTATATATTTATTATCTATCTCCGTTAAAAGATTGAGCCTCTTGAGAAGATAAAAAGCCATATTGAAAGGGCCATATCATATTTTTTTTTTCCTTAGCACCTAACACAGTGTCTAGCATACTGTAGGTATTCCACAGACAGTTGTTACATGAATGGATCCACTGATGTAAGGATGGTTGGATGGTTGGATGGATGGATGGATGGATGGAAGGATGGATAGATGGATGGATGGAAGGATGGATGGATAGGTGGGTGGATAGATGGATGGATGGATGGATGGAAGGATGGATGGAAGGAAGGATGGATGGATGGATGGATGGATGGATGGATGGATGGAAGGATGGATGGATGCATGCATGCATGCATGGAAGGAGGGATGGATGGATGGATGGATGGATGGATGGATGGATGGATGGAAGAATGTCTACCGGGCGCCTGGGTGGCTCAGGTGGTTGGGCAACTGCCTTCGGCTCAGGTCATGATCCCTGGGGTCCTGGGATCGAGTCCCATATCAGGTTCCCCCTGCTCTTTGGGGAGCCTGCTTCTCCCTTTCCCTCTGCTTGCTACTCTCCCTGCTTGTGCTCCCTCTCTCTCTGTCAAATAAATAAATAAAATCTTAAAAAAAAAAAAAAAAGAACATCTTCCTACAGAAATGAGGAAAACAGCATTTTGACAATTCATGAGTTTGGGGGAACTTCTAAGAAAGGTCAAGGCATTTCTTTCTCACCTTTCACCTGGCAATCTCTTGCTCCAGATACGAGCCTGTTCTTATATAAATCCATGCAAGTGACTGTCCCCTGGTGGCCATTGAAGATTCGTATACAAGCCCCACTTTTCAGATCCCAGGATCTGCAGGAATCAGGCCAAAAAATGTTTTTGAGATTTTTTCTGAGGGCCCAAAGGGATCATACTATACACGACCTCCCTTAGACCAACAGTCTATTGGAAGGCAGCAAAGTTTCATGGTCAAGCTCAGAGTCAGAGGCCTGGATTTGAATCCCAGTTGCAGCAGCCATTAGGCGTAACTTTGGGAAAGTTACTTAACTTCTGTGTAGGCGTCATTTCCTCACTGGTAGATTAGAAATGGTAACAATGATAGTTACACCTCATAGCGGTTTTTGCAAAGAATTAAATACACAAATGCAATGACTGTCAACCAGGAGTGATTACCACCACTAGGGGACATTTGACAATGCCTGGAGACATTCTTGGTTGTCTCCACTGGGGAGAGAGATGCTATGGGTATCTAGTGTGTAGAGTCCCAGGATACTGCTGAGCAACCCCCCAATGCACAGGACAGCCTTCATATGAAGTACTTTACAGCCCCAAATTGAGAAACCCTGCATTAATTCATGTAACATTGGAACAATGGTCAACGTGTCAAAAATGCTTAATAAATGTTGGTTGGTATTAGGTGGAAGTTTCTAGAATTACCACCAGGCTTAAAATCCATGGCACTGATTCAACAGAAGAGCTGATCTTCAAACAAGAACAACAGAACTATTGGGGATGCCTGGGTGGCTCAGTGGGTTAAGCCTCTGCCTTCAGCTCAGGTCATGATCCCAGGGTCCTGGGATCAAGCCCTGCATCAGGCTCTCTGCTCAGCAGGGAGCCTGCTCCCCACTCTGTCTCTGACTACCTCTCTGCCTGCTTGTGATCTCTCTCTCTCTGTCAAATAAATAAATAAGATCTTAAAAAAATAAAAAAGAACAATAGAACCATTTATTTCAGTCACTTAGATCCAAAATATTTTATGTGTATTTCTGAGACATATCTAAGAAATACATGGGAGCATGTATGAGTCACATCATTTTTTAATAAGCAAACTTGCCCGAGGTCTCTCAGCTGTCTCTGATACAGACTTGCACGTTAGCCAGTTTGCTTTTGCAAGGCAAAGAGTGATACTAAGATAGTGGGTTCTGGAGCCAGGGGGCCCCAGGTTCTATCCCAGGTCCATCACTTATGAGCTGTAGGATCTTGGATAAGTTAATGAACCACTCTGTATCCCAGTTTCCTCATGCGTAAATTGAGGTTAAGAATGGTAGTTACCTCACAGAATTCTTATGAGACTTGGCACACAATAAACAATTAATAAATGTTTCTTTTGTTTTTCTTTGAATGTGCTACCCTTTCCCTTCTAACATTCCCAAAGGTCCTGTGGCCTTAGCAGTTTGTCAGAGTCTGCTATGCGCCCACAGCACATTTAAAGATATCCCAGTGGCCTGAAGAAAAGCAGGTTTTGAATTTCTGTTCTAGCAACACGGCCAATCATGTGTTCAGGTTGTTTTTCTTAAGTTAGGCAGAAAAGATATTTGACAAACATTTTTAGGAAAATAGGAATAGGAAGTCCTGGCTGGCTCAGTCAGAAGACCGTGTGACTCTTGATCTCAGGGTCTTGAGTTCAAACCCCACGTTGGGTGTAGAGATTACTTAAATAATAAATAAACTTAAAAAAAAATAAAAAGAGGGACACCTGAGTGGCTCAGTCGGTTAAGCATCTGCCTTTGGCTCGGGTCATGATCGCAGGGTCCTGGGATAGAGCCCTGCATCAGGCTCCCTGCTCAGCGGGAAGTCTGCTTCTCCCTCTGCTGCTCCCCCTGCTTGTACTCTGTCTCTCTATATATATCTCAAATAAATAAAATCTTTAAAATAAAAAAAGAAAAAAGAAAAGAAAATTTAAAAAGTAGGAATAAGGAACTTATTGATTTCACAAACTTATTTAAAAAAAGTTGTAACAGCAAGAGTTATACTTAGTAAAAAAAACTATAGATGTACTCCCTTCAAAAAGGATAACAAGATGTCTGCTCTTACTGCTTCTACTTAACTGGAAGTCCAAGGTAAAGTTAGAAAGAAAGAAAAAGAAAAATGTAGTATAAAAGTATGGGAAAAGAAGATAATTATTATCATTATTCCTGGCTGGAAGATCATCTACATAGCACATATATTTTTAATTTTTATTTTTATTTATTTATTTGACAGAGAGAGAGAAATCACAAGTAGGCAGAGAGGCAGGAGAGGGGGCGGGATGCAGGTTCCCCGCCGAGCAGAGAACCCGATTCGGGGCTCGATCCCAGGACCCTGAGATCATGATATGAGCCGAAGGCAGAGGCTTAACCCACTGAGCTACCCAGGTGCCCCAGCACATATACTTTTAAAACCAATGAGAGGTTAACAAGGTTGCTAGATACAAGAACAATCTATAGTAATCAACCCCATTTCTCTATACCAGCAAAAATCAATATGAAACAAAAATAAGATACTGGGCACCTGGGTGACTCAGTCAGTTAAGCAGCTGCCTTTGGCTCAGGTCATGATCCCAGGGAGCTGGGATGGAGTCCCAGATTGGACCTCCCTGCTCAGCAGGCATCTGCCTTCTCCCTCTGCCTCCCCTCCCCCGCCCCGCACTCTCTCTTTCTCTCTCTCTCTCTCAAATAAATAAATAAAGTCTTTAAAACTAAAAGAATTTTAAATTTTAAAAAAATTTTTGAGAAAAGATACTTTGGGAGAATGTCTTTTTGACTTCCCCAAAGGGAGGCGTTTCTTAAACATGCCAAGTCCACAAAGTCAACTACCTTAAAGTTAAGGATTTCTGTTCATCAAAAGTCACCATGGTGACAAGAGGAGTCTTAAATTGGAAGGAGAAATTTGCAACACAAAAATCAACAAAGAATTAGTATCTAAAATATATAAAGAACTCCAACGAATCAATAAGAATAAATAAATTAACAGAAGAATAGGCCAAACGACAACAAAAACTGAACAGGAATTTCATAGAGGAAAAAGCACAAATGGCTCTAAAACATATTGTGATGGTTAACTTTATACGTCAGTTTGAAGGCTGTTTTAGGTCAAGATCAAGGTTTAAACCAATGGATGTCGAGTAAAGCACATGGCCCTTCATCATGTAGACAGGCCTCATCCAATCAACTGAAGGCTTAAACAGAACAAAAAGACCAACCTCCCCCCCATGCACTCCCAACAAGAGGGAATGCTCCAGCAAACCATCTGCAGACTTATCTCCACCCCCAACTCTCCTAGGTCTCCAGGCTGCGGGCCCACACTGTGAGCCAATTCATTATAAAGAGATAATCAATCTCTTTATATGCACACACACATCTCCTGTTTCTCTGAAAAGCTTAATACACACATATGAAAATATGCCCAACCTCATTAGTAATCAAAGAAGTTAAAAGAGGTGGCAGCAGATTGGCAGTTAATGTTGTCAGTATTGAGCATCAAATAGTAAATATTGGTAGGGGTCTACCCCTGATGATGAGAGCAGAACCTAATATAACTGTTTAAGAAAACAATTTAGTACTCCTACCTAGAAATTTCACGACAAAGAATAATCCTTAAGAGAAACTCATGCACTGTGGTTAAGAAGACTGCATCATACCTTTGAAAGGTGCTGAGAGTAGATCTTGAAAGGTCTTACCACAAGAAAAAAAAATTTTGTAACTACGAGTCGTGATGGATATAAGTAAACTTACTGTGGTAATCATTTTCCAATATATACAAATATCAAATCATTATGTCATATACCTAAAACTAATATGTTGTGTGTTAATTATATCTATCTCAGTTAAAAAAAATTTTTTTTTTTACTAATTTTTTAAGTAATCTCTATACCCAACACGGGGCTCAAACTCACAACTCCAAGATCAAGAATCTCATGTTCTACCACTGAGTTACCAGGTGCCTCTGAAAAAGTTTTTTTAAAAACTCTTGCACATAGGGCCACCTGGGGGGCTCAGTCATTATGCCTTCAGCTCAGGTCATGATCCCAGGGTCCTGGGATCAAGTCCCGTGTCAGGCTCCCCAATCAGCGGGAAGACTGCTTCTCCCTCTCCCACTCCCCCTGCTTGTGTTCCCTCTCTCGCTGTGTCTCTCTCTGTCAAATAAATAAAAAAACAAACTCATGCATATAGATGTCAGGGGACACATCCAAGAACACCTGTAGCAGCAGATGTTTATTCTTTGAAAGAATAAAAAAATGGAAACAATGCAAATATCCATTGACAGAAGATGAAATGATTTATAATATATTCATCCAATAAAAGACAGTGTCTCAATGAAAATAAATTACTGCTACCTACATCTTATGGATAAATCTCAAAATCATGGTTCAGTACAAGAATCTAGTATAAGTGAATTTTTTAATGCAATTCCATTTATGTAAGTTTAAAAATAGGCAAAAGTAATCAATATTTTTGGAGATCTATAAATAGCAAAATTATAAAGAAATACAAGGGAATAATTAGCATAAAATTTAGGGTAACATTACCTCTGGTTGGGAGGGAGAAAGTAAGGAAAGACACACAGTGAGATTTGGGGAATGGTAATGATCTATTTCTTGGCCTGAGTATGGTACATGGATGTTTACTATATTGTTTAAAAATATATGTATATATACATTTTTAAACACCATTTTGCTTCTATATCATATGTCATATCCACAGAAAAACACCTTTTCCTAAGGCATCTATAAAAGAACTATAAATTGTGCCATCATCTAAGAGCACTAAGAAAGATACTTTCCAAGGAGTGCCTGGGTGGCTCAGTCTGTTAAGTGTCTGCCTTTGGCTCAGGTCATGATCTCAAGGTCCTAGGATCAAGTATCACATGAGACTCCTTGCTCAGTGGGGAGTCTGCTTCTCTCTCTCTCTCTGCTCCTCCCCTTGCTCATTCTCTCTCTCGCTCTCTCTCAAATAAGTAAATAAAATCTTCAAAAATTAAAAATAATATACCTTCCAATTCAAAGCCCTCAACCAGAAAATAGATCTGATAATTGCTATAAATCAATCTCATTCAAAGTTTAAACAATATATAAATTATTGGTTTCTACCTTGCCAAATAAAGAAAAAAATGTTACGGGTTTATCCATATCATTTAGGAGAGCATTACTTAAATAAATAAATACTAAGGGGGAAAAAGCATGCAGGCTTCTTCCACAAGCTGACTTTAGGCCTTGGGTTGGGATGGACCACAACTCCCTTGGACCACTCACCTGATACTCAGGTCATAACTCCCGCTCAGTAGAAAGTTCTCCTCCTCACACAAGAAGAGGGTGCGGACACTCCCAGCATGGCCTCGGAACTCAGTGGGTAATTCCTTTACTTGTATGACATCTAGAAGCTGGATCTTCCGGTTGGATGACACTGCGACCAGATCTCCCCCAGAATAGTGAATGACTCTGTTTCGGTCCCACCTGAGTTGCCGGGGGCAGAAAAAGATGATCCATGAAAGAAAAGTTAGTGTCCTTCCAGAACTCCCTTAGTATGATGACCGTCACCTGCAGGGGTGGTATAATGGAAAGCAGAAGGCACACTCCTGGTGGACCCCTACCTCATACCATACCAAGTCACTTTAGATTAAAACCTAAAGACAACAGAAAAACTATTAAAAAAGAATCTACTAATGTATGATAAATCATCAAGAGAGGATATTCTCTTGAATATGCATCATCTCCCAAACTTGTCTGACCACAGAAATCTTTTTTTATAGAAAACATTAGAGGAACACAGCTTGGAAGCCTTATGCCAACTGCATATCCCGCTGTTTCTTTCTTTTTTTTCTCTCTTAACCAATATCCAATGAGTTTATGTCAGGTTCAAAGTACTGTGCTAAGAGCTACCATGGGAAATACAGAGATGAATTAAGATATGGATCTTGCCTTCAATGAGCCTGCAGTCTAGTAAAACAGGATAAGTTAAGTTAATTTTCCAGTCATAAGATTATTACCAAATAGATAAAATATGAGCAAGATGACCAAATCATTTATTGTCCAAAAGGAGACTTTTTCATTGTGAAAGGGGACACGATTATTAGTAACTCCAGGACCACAGAGTAAAGTGGGATTTTTTCAGCAAACATGGATGGAGTCACATCTGAATATGAGAAGTAATTCTTGATATCTTCGTCCTCATTCCCCTTGTTACATCTAGAGTTCAATGAGCCATCATCTCTTCCAAAGGGCACTTATCACCATGCCATCCATAAAAACTCAGCTTTGCCTTTCCGCTGTCTGCTGTGTCTTCCCCTTACTGACTGCTCAAGATGTAATTTGTTAAGTAACATTCACAGTCAAAAATAAAATAGAGGCAGCCTCCACAAAATCTTATGAATAAAGAGTGAAATCCTAGGCCTAAACTATGGCAGAAAGTTGATTACTAGGGCACCTGGGTGGCTCAGTCGATTAAGCAGCTGCCTTCGGCTCAGGTCATGATCCCAGGGTCCTGGAATCGGGACCCACATTGAGTTCCCTCCTCAACGGGAAGCCTGCTTCTCCCTCTCCCACTACCCCTGCTTGTGTTCCCTCTCTGGCTGTGTCTCTGTCAAATAAACAAAATCATTAAAAAAATTTTATAGATATACATGCAAAGAAAATTCTAGAATATACATAAGTATACATGAATATTAATAAAATGAATATTAATTTGTGTACTAATATACATGAAGATTATAGGAGGTCTTTGCCTTTCTCTATACATTTTCTAGTATTTAGAGGATTTCTTCTTTGCACTAAGCATATATCACTTCTAAAATTGAAATAAAACCATACAAATATTTCCAAAAAAGCAATGTTTTCATGCACGTGACTTGTGTGAAAGTTGGTCAGTATACCCGAAATTACAACAGGAAAGTGTCCTCTGGCCATGGGGAGAATGGTGCAAATATCCAGCCCTATTCTCCGAAGGGGATCTCATGTTCTTGGGGGACTGGAGCTTGAGGGGAGGAAGGATTGCCTTTCCAAGTGAACAGGGTCATGGAAATCCTAAAGACGCCAGTGTGGGTAATTCAAGGGTCCCCGAAGACCTGGGTTCTGGCCCTGGTACCTACGTGTCTGAGAGGATGCGGATATTGTAAGTCCCACAGAAGACATTTCTCTCCTCCATTTGGACCTGCTGAGTTTCCTGGTTCTGGTATGCGGCCCACAGGTTGTAGTCATTCTAACAATGGAACACAAAGTCAAATCACAGCGGCAACTTTACCCCAGGCCCCAAACATGCACCCCCGAGGACGCCCCCAGCAAGGACATAAGGGCCCAAGGATTCTTTTGCTTCAGGCTGTGGCTGCCACTGCGTGTGGGGAGGGAGGGACCCCCGAGGAGACCCCAAAGTAATCCATGGAGAACCAAGGGTCCTGATTTGTCTTCCATCTCTTCATATTTTCTGTGTGTTCTGATTCCATGAACTTTCCTGGTCGCTGATCGCTCAACTTTTCCAAAAAAACGAGCTCACAAAGGACAATGCTCACAAAATAAAGTCACAGGTGCCCTCTGGCCGGCTTTTTTGCAGAAGTTGAGGTTTTGTGGGCCTATTGCATCGAGACCTGAAGGTACAGAGTGTGCTGGTGGGAACTCCAACCGTATGTGAAATCACAGCTACACCCGCTGTGCATTTGGGCCTCAAAGTCTGCCCACAGAGGCAAGCTTGGTCCCTCCTTACAGCTGCCTCATGGAGTACACCATTGGCCCCACGAATTATTCTCGTGGTTTTGCAGGTGAGATATAGCTGAGCCTCAGGAAGAAGAAACCAATTTTATCAAGTCTCAACAGGGGTGTTTTCCTTCCTTTTCTAAGACTTCCTTCCTTCCTTCCTTCTTTCCATCTTTCTTACCTTCCTTCCTCCTTCTTTTCTTCCTCCCTTCCTTCCTTCCTTCCCCATCCCTCCCTCTCTCCATGGGACACTTTCTAAGCCACTGTGGCGTGCCAGGCAGGCTAAATTCTGCCACAGATGACTCAACCAGAGTCTCGCTTATCACTCCTCTTTCCAGCCATACTCTTCCCCCTCAAATAGCAGGAAATGACAACCATGCTAGCAGGAAACCAAAACACAGAGTGCCTTTACCATGAAAGCAAAGAAGACCACAGCAGCACATTTGGACCTGGGAGCCCTCCTGGGAACATCCCTTCAAAGTCTCCTTCCTACGTAGCCTTCCTCTCCGTGCCTATAGACTCTTCCTTGGGATGCCTGCTTTTCTGGACTCAACCTCCTTGATCTCTAACCCAGTAATGATGTCCACCTTAGAAGCCTCGGCCCTGAATCTCTCAACCTGCCTCGCCTCGAATGTCCAAGCATCTCTGATATCCTGCCTTGAATTCATCGAGTCTTCCTTGGCTTCTCATGGCCTGGGCTGGAATGCCTTGGCTCTTGGTCATTGGCCAAGTTTTGAGAGCCCAGAAGCTCCATGGTGGAGTCACTGGGAGGAAAAAGACCTGATTCAAATCCCAGTTCTGCCACTGAGCAGCTAGGAGACCTCTGGTGATTTTTGGAACCTCGCAGCCTCCATTTCCACGTCCAGGAACTGGGAGCGATGATATCCACCCGATCTACAGCAAGGATCAAGTGAACGATGCGTACAAAGCCCTTGGCACTATGCCGGGCACACCACTCAAACTCAGTCCCCATAGCAGTCACCAGCCCTGGGAAGCACTCTCCTAAACTTTCCCTAGCGGACCCCTTAGCTTCCTCGTCTGGCCCTTCCACGTTTCTCGTCTGTTGTCCACAGTGCTTTACCTGTTTCTCTCTCTTTCCTAAAATTACAACATTTCTAAAATATCAAACACTGCCTGGGTAGTCCTTTCCAGTCAGGCAGTTATTAGCCACGTCACCCAGAGCAGGGTGTTAGCTCTGTTACACTTAGAGCCCCGAGCTCGGGAAGAACGTGTCTGCGTCCTACTTGCATCTCGGTCATTCTGTCAGGGAGACCTGAAACTCTCAGCGCCTCAGTCTTTTCATCGGTCACATGAGTGAATGGGCCGATTTAAAGATATAAAATTCAGATCATGGGGTGCCTGGGTGGCTCAGAGGGTTAAAGCCTCTGCCTTCAGCTCGGGTCGTGATCTCAGGATCCTGGGCTCTCTGCTCAGCAGGGAGCCTGCTTCCTCCTCTCTCTCTGTCTGCCTGCCTCTCTGCCTACTCGTGATCTCTGTCAAATAAATAAATAAATAAATAAATAAATAATCTTTTAAGGAAAAAATAAATAAAATTCATGTCAAATGAAGTCCACAGATGTGTTTTCTTTGGCCCCCAGAGTTTTGGGGTTTTTTAATGCTTTTAATTGGCTGCCCGCATTTAAGGAAAAGGAGAGATGTCACAAGATAATTATCTGAATTATCTTGAAAGCTCAGATGGATGCCGAGGCTGAGGTCCAGTCTATGGCCGTAACTCGCAGGAGCTGTGTAGCACCTGGCCCCTTTGGATGGGGAGGTAAGTCTCCAGCTCCCGGAGGTTCCGCCACACCCACTCGCACCCCCAACCGCCCTCATTCCTGTGACCTGTCTGGCTTCTACGGACAGAAGAACTGGATGGTCACTCTGGTCCTTTCTATCCCTCAAATTCTAACTCATATACACAGTTGCCTTCGAGAAGCTACAGTCTGGACACCCCTTATTGAATATTCTTTTGAGGCCCATGGGACAGATTTCAAAACAGAAGACCCTTGAGCAGAGAGGAGGAAGCAAGAATCTGATGGTTTCAGGAATGACCACCAGGCCTGGATAAACCGTAGAGAGAGCTCAGAGCCTTTCTTCTGTCCTTCACTGTTGCCCAAGATTTGGTATGGGGGAGTCTATGGTTAAGTAACCGCCCCCCTTCATTCCTAGAACCAGAATAAACCTGGAAGCAAGAGGGGAGAAAGCGTAATCCATTCTGGACCCTGGACACTCTGGACCCATCCTGGCCAGTCCATTCCTGAGCCACGGACCCTCACAGCCTCTGGTTGCCTGTGGCCTGACGGGTGTTAAGGAAAATCCCAGTCACCCCTGACATCCACTCGTTTAACAGATGACGAATTTCAGGCTGAAGGAGAGGAAGTCACTTGCTTAAGGAAACACAGCACAGAACTCTGGTCTCCCTTAGGGAATGTCGCCTCCTAGGCCCTAAATCCACGTGCTATATCCTATATCCTCCCGCTTCCTCTACCCTCATATGACGACTGAGTCTGGACTCCAGCCTGGCTAAGGAGAACAGGACGCCACGGTGACTTGCCCCAGACGCCACTGCCACACACCTTTGTTCTCAGTTTCAATTTCTGATTTTTCACACGTATGCACTTCCCATTATCGGTTATTTTAGGAACTGGGATAAAAAGCTTGTTGGCATAGTTAGGATCGATTCCCTTTGTGTAGGATCCCTGAGGGGAAAAAACAAACAGAAAATGGTTATTACTCTTGGCCCTTACTCCCCAAGAGGAGGGGGGGAAACTCGTCCTTGGCAAGATCTGAATGGCGGGTTAACTCTGGCAAAGGAAGACCCATGTCTGGCCTGTGAGGCTGGTAGTGTGCGCGGACTCGTATAAGATGGACAAAACACCTGGAGGGACCCCAGTAGGACATGGCCAGAGTCCTCCACTTCCCAGAGGATGGCCCGCCTCCCAAGGCCGGCGTCTTCCTGTCTTCTCTTATCTATCTGTGCTGGGAAATACTCAAGCTACCGGCAACCCATGACACAGGGCAAGGCTTCAGGCCGGAAACAGAAGTAAAAATGCCAGAGGTGGACACTATTCCAGGAGAATAGTGCATCTTGACCCAAGAATATACTTTGTGGGCTTTGAAATATCTGGGTACCATGTGCGGCTGCTCCGGGAACACACTCACGGTCCTCTCATTGCCAAAACCACAGTAAAGCTCTCTGGCGAAAACAATCCCCCACTCTGTGAGGTTTCAGGAAGGCTCTGCCTCTCTGCTCCTGAGAGGTTTCCATATACGTCCTCCCTCCTGGATGCGCTGACCATGGAGTGATTAACGGGGAGACCAGACACAAAGGAAGTCCCTACTGAACCCTACAAAGCAACAAACACGGGGCAGGAGGCCAACTAAGGATCTAGGGAAGAGACCGGAAAGGCCCCCAGGCAGGCCAACCTCAATGCGGAAATGAGGCGGGTCTCCAGACCGACCCCTCCCCCCCAGACAGGAAGTACCTGCAAGAAGGTAATATGGCTCTGAATGAAAGGATGCATTGACAGATCCATCTTGACCTGCTGTACCAGCATGGCCCAGTGCTGGCTCACGGAGGCACATCTGTTCAGGCTGTTTTTATCCAGCATACCTGGAAAAAAAAAAAAAAAAAAAAAAAAACATGGACCTGGGAACCTCCCAACCGGCCCGTGATGAGCAGTGTCTGGAGAAATCCCCCAGTACAGCCCAGCATACTTAGAATATATTTGGAGAGGTGAACGGGCAGGGAACGGATGAAGTCCCGGTATTTGCCGACTCCAGAGGACAGGTCTTTGACGACATCCAAGTCAACCAACAGATTGGAAGGCGTGAATTCGGCCTTCGACAGGCCTGCTTTTCTGGAAAACAGGCTATTCATCTCGAAAATGCACTGGATGGAACTCTTCCATTGTCCGTCTAGAGGAAAGCAAGCAAAAGGTGCGGGATGAGGCTAATTCTGCGGTAACTCCAGGCCAAGAGAAGCCCTCAAGAAACCCTCTCCCCAGAAATAGAGCTCATCAGAATCCACCCTTAGACCCCTGGATTTTTATCGTTTCTTCTGCCAGAGTGGAAATAATGACCTCCCCAACGAAACGCACGAGGACTTTTTTAGCCTTCCCAGCTCAGGTGGGATACCTATAGCACCAAAGCCTGCCCCACTCAGGTGAAATGGCCTTGTGCCTAGAATTTCCTCAGAATACCGCAAGGGAAAAAAATATATAAACAATTTTGTAAAGGGACAAATGATTGACATGACTGGGCCAAGTACTGATAATTATCGAAACTGAGTGATGGTTCTGTGCGTGGTGATTACGGGGTCTTATCAGTTTATGAAATCTGGAAGTTTCCAGATAAAAAGTGCCTGAGAATTGATGCTTTGTGTTTCTTATAATGAGGTCACGTAGAGCTCTCGCCTCACACAAACCAGCTCAGGAAATCTTTGAGGTTATGCCCTAGTTCCCCACTGCTTTTGTTTCCTCCTCAAGACTGAATCCAATGCAGCAAAAGATAGGCGCCAGTGGGCTGACCTCTAGAGGTGAGGGGCCAGACAAGGGATTGTGGCCCAGAGCAGAGGGAGAACCCAAAGGAAACCCTCTTACGGTTCCCTTTCCGAGCTCTATTTTCAGGCATCTCTCAGAGGCACCAAGATGGAGAAGTGAAAACATGGGCTTTAATAAGGTTATAATGATCACCTTCAATTCTTGCTTCTCCCCTACCGGATGTGGGATTCGATGATGTAATAAGGATCGGTGAGCCCAACATACCACTGATGCCAAATGAATGTTCATCTCCTGCCACCCCCAGATGCTACTGCTCTGTGCCCACCGCCCCAAACCCATGGGGACTTCCCAATCTCCTATTAGCTTTTTTTTTTTTAAGATTTTTTTTTTAATGTATTTGACAGACAGATCACAAGTAGGCAGAGAGGCAGGCAGAGAGAGAGAGGATGAGGAGGCAGACTCCCTGCTGAGCAGAGAGCCCGATGCGGGACTCGATCCGAGGACCCTGGGATCACGACCCAAGCCGAAGGCAGAGGCTTTAACCACTGAGCCACCCAGGCGCCCCTCCTGTCTATTAGCTTTCTTGCTACAAGCTGACTTACCAGTATTAGATGCTTCGCCCCTCCTGTTTTCAAGCAAATTTTCTTTTCCTGAAGCTCTGGACAAAGGGAAGGATGCAGTCTTGGTGCTGGCTGCCCAGAAAACATCTGAGGTCTCATACGGCAGGTTGTAGTCTTTCTCGGGAAAGAAAAAAACACATCACTAGTGTCTTGATTGGGGCCTGAAAAGCCAACGGCCAAGACAAGGTGGAGGTGGAGTGGCCAAGTGGCCAAGACTTGGTGGAGGAAAGGACGTGAGACAAACAGTTTTTTGTTTGTTTGTTTGTTTGTTTGTTTGTTTTTTTAAAGATTTTATTTATTTATTTATTTGATGAGAGAATCACAAGTAGGCAAAAAGGCAGGCAGAGACAGTGAGAGGGAAGCAGGCTCCCTGCTAAGCAGAGAGCAGGACGCAGGACTCGATCCCAGGACCCCGAGATCATGACCTGAGTCGAAGGCAGCTGCTTAACCCACTGAGCCACCCAGGCACCCTGAGGCAAACAGTTTTATTTCTACTTGCTTCTCTTCAGTCTACACAAAACGGACTGGGCCAGTTATGTCTGGTTTTTCGGGAGGAGGGAGGCCGGAAGGGGGGCCTCCAAGTTTCCATACAAAAATTGCAGAAAGGGGCGCCTGAATGGCTCAGTCAGTTAAGCTTCTGCCTTTGGCTCAGGTCATGATCCCAGCATCTTGGGATGGAGACCCCATCAGGCTCCTTGCTAAGCAGGAGGCCTGCTTCTCTCTCTGCCTACGGCTCCCTGCTGTGTGCTCTCGCTCTCTCTCTTGCTCTCTCTCTCTGACAAATAAATAAAATCATTAAATAACTAAATAAATAAAATAAAAAGCCTTCCCAGTGATTCTGATGCAAGCTGAAGTTTGAGAACTCCTCTTCAAGGTTGGATTTTATGCACAAGCAAGGAATATGGTGCAATGAAAGGGAAAAAGCCCTAAACTTGGACCTCTTGACCCAGGTTCTGTGCAGGGCAAACTGAAAGGCAAAACAATTCAGAAGCCTCCCCTTTACATCCCTCCCTAACCCTGTCTAATCCCTCACCTAATGCAGGAACCACACCAGCAAAAAGCAGTAGTGGCACAGGCCAGCCATATCTGGGTCTAATTCCATTTTAAATGCCTCACAGTGGGGTCCCTGGGTGGCTCAGTGGGTTTAGCATCTGCCTTCAGCTCAGGTCATGATCCCAGGATCCTGGGACCAAATCCTAGCATGGCAGCGGGGAGCCTACTTTTCCCTCTCCCGCTCCCCAACGCTTGTGCTCCCTCTCTCTCTTTTTCCTCTCTCTCTCTCATAAATAAATAAAGTCTTAAAGAAAAAGCTTTAAAATAAGACAAAAAATACAAAAATAAGTGCCTGACAGTTACAAGTTCTGCACTTCCTTCTTTGTGTGCATTCTATACTTTTCTAGAAGGAAGTCGCAGTCTGCAATTTCTCCTTCGGTAAACAGGGCTGCAGGTCAGGACAAGGACATCTGTCCTGTATTCTGGAAGATCCCCGTCTGCCTAAGGTGGTCCACACCCCTGGTTCCTTGACAGGTTCCCCAAGTCCGGCTTCCCAGTCCCCCCGGGGCCTCGTTTACCCGCGACGTTGTTCCACTGTCTCAGAGACAGGACCCTGATGACATTGGCAGCGGTCAGCAGCAGCTTGGGGTCGCACATCTGCAGGAGAAAGAGCGTGTAATTTGCCTTGGTCCAGTGGGTGCTTCTCGCAAACCAGAACAAGATCTCCCGCATCTTCTGCTCCACAGTTTTATCCAACATCTGGTTCAAGGAAGACCTGACGATCTTCCCCTCCTTCCTGCTGAGGTTGATCCGGGACCGGCTGTAGATGAAATCCTTCCCCTGCGTGGTCTGAAGGATATTCTGAAAATAGTGCAGCAAGTAGAGGCTACCCAACTGCTCCAGGATGCTCACCAGAAACCTTCTCTGGGGCACCTCTCCTATCCTCCGGAACCACTGTTTGGTCGAGAAGATATTCCAAGCCAAGACACATGTTTCGCACTTTTGACACACGGGGACAGAACTGTCTCCCTTCTCACAACGGAAATACGGGGCATTCCCGAGCCTTGGGTCCAGGTTTTCCATGATTCTGAGATGACCAGCTCATTTTATCCTTGCCCGTTGTCAACCCCACCAAACACCAGAGGTACAGGAGAGGCGGACAGATATCCCAGTTGAGCCTTTTCTATTATAAACATTTCCCAGAGGAAAGGTAAAGCCCTGCGTTGGATGGAAAGCTGCTCTCTCCCAGAAACTGCCAGTAGAAGTCTGGCTTTTTGTACTGACTTCCTAGGAAACATGGCTTTTACCGTAAATCTCCTAAACCGGGCACTGCTTAGTAGGTGGAGGCAGTTGCTGTATATTCTGAAAGAGCTGGTCATCCCATTTCTAGAACCACAAGAATAGCGTCAGTCACATTGAAGTCATACGTGGAACCCTCTTAAAGGAAAAGATATATATATCATATATCATGGAGCCTGGCGTTGAGCTTTGATTGTTACTAATGACTAGTAAATATTCATGATGTACTTCTTACGTTAATAGCTGTTTGGCTATAAGGTGGCTAGCCCAATGATCCTGAATATGTCTCTACTCATTTTCTAAAGTCATCGTTGAACTGAAAACACAAATGTTTACTACAAACGTAGAACGTAAGTCGTTTCACTGGTTCAGAATGCTAACGAGAAACCTCTGCAGGGAAGCCCTCCCTCAGGGAAAATTTCACTCAGCCTCAATCACACGCTCCTCTGGGAGGCAGCACCTGGACTGAATTCAAGATGTGGGGACGGTCACCCCTTGGGGTGCATTACATTGAATACAACCCCAGGAAGTGTTAGAAAGCAAAGAACTCTTGATTACTTGGCTCAAGTAAGGAGACAGGAGATCACTCTCAAAGCACCGTCTCTCTTGGGGTTAGAACAGGAAGCTTTTATTCAGTGTATTAGGGGGTGAGAGCAAGGAGCTTGCATATACATTAAGGAATTTTACATGCTCTATTACTTGGGCATTTCCGTTCAATTGCTCAGACCTAGACCGCCCACATGCTAGTGTACACATTATGTTCAAAAGGTGGCAGAAAATTCCGCCTCTAGGTGGAGATCTTAGTACTATAAACAGATAAAGGTAAGTTCAGGACCAGGTTAGAGGGTGGGGACGGAATCGGTACACAGCTCTAAGCCGGCTCAAACTGGCTCCAGGAGGAGCTAGCTGGTGAAATATCTAGCCAGGGGCTATCAGGTGAGACACCCAGCTGGGCAGCTCTCAAAACAGCACCTTCCTTCCTGGCTCTCCTGGATTTCCCATCTTCCTTCTGCTGCTAGCTTTCAGCCCTCTGATTCTGAGTACCTCCCCATTGCATCCCAGCCAACAGTACAGCCAAGTGGAGAAGAGTGAGGAGTCTCGGGCAGGACTCCTGGACCCCAGCCCAGCTGCTAACTAGCTCTGTGTGCACAAGCGCATTACCTAATGCCCAATGTGTCAGTTTGCTTATTTGTAAAACAAAGAACAATAGTTTTGACTTGGGGGGGTGCGGTTTGAGGATTAAATGAGATACTATATGCAAAGCACTTAAAAGATCGCCTGTTACCTATTCAGCCCTCTAGAAGTGCTAACGATTGTCCTGTTGTAGATGTCATCCTGGGTGTCATCGGGATCATTGTTCTGGGCAGCCAAGTAATCAATGCCCACTCCAATCTCTATACAATCTCCAATCTCCATGTGCATACATTGAGATGCATGTAAAAAATGACCTTAGGCAGGCACTGGCTCAGTCAGTCAAGCGTCTAACTCTTGATCTCAGCTCAGGTCTTAATCTCAGGGTTTTGAGTTCAAGCCCCATGCTGGGCTGCACTCTGCGTGGAGCCGACTTAAAAAGAAAAAAAAAGAAGGAGGAGGACATGAAACGTGGTGTACCTGTTTCGTGAGGTCTTTACCATTTGCCGTGGCTTATGATCCATTCAGGAGTGATGACTTGGGTCATTACAGTCAGCCCTCAGAGTGCACCTGGTCCCCCAGGTTTCCAAACAGGAGGCTTCTGCTGTCACTCACGACCCAGAAAGAGATCAGGGGCTCAGTGGGCTTTTCAAACGTTTTGAACAACAAAATCCTATTTGCAAATCATATTCTTCTGTAAAAGCTCAATGTGGAACATAGACAAAATGACTTTATACTAGAATGCATCTATGTTGTAAGTTCAAAGTTCACTTGCTAGCAAGGCAAGCAGGGCGAACAACTTGGCTATTTTGATGAAGACAAAACTTGGGGGGACGCCTGGGTGGCTCCGTCGGTTAAGTGGCTGCCTTCAGCTCAGGTCATGATCCCGGAGACCTGGGATCGAGTCCCACATTGGGCTCCTTGCTCAGCGGAGAGCCTGCTTCTCTCTCTCCCTCTGCCTGCCACTCTGCCGACTTGTGTTCTCTCTCTCTCTCTCTCTCTCTCTCTCTCTCTGTGTGTCAAAAAAATAAATAAAATCTTTAAAAAAAAAAAAAAAAAGAAGACAAAACTTGGGAACCTGAAGTTAAAGATGACAGACACGCAGGACGCCTGGGTGGCTCAGTAGGTTAAGTGTCCGACACTTGGTTTTGGCTCCGATGACGATCTCAGGGTCATGAGATCAAGCTCTGTACGGGAGCCTGCTTAAGATTCTCTCTCCCTGAGGTGCCTGGGTGGCTCAGAGGGTTAAGCCTCTGCCTTGGGCTCAGGTCATGGCCCCTGGGATCGACCCCCCACATCGGGCTCTCTGCTCGGCAGGAAGCCTGCTTCCCCTTCTCTCTCTGCCTGCCTCTCTGCCTACTTGTGATCTCTTTCTCTGTGTCAAATAAATTTTAAAAAAAAATCTTAAAAAAAAAAATACCGCTTCCCTCTAGGATTAGACCAGATGTGTGAGACCAGCTGTCACTGCTCTTCTCAATGTTGTAATGATTTCCCTAGATTAAGCCAAAATGTTTGGTGTAACTGAGCATTTCTGGTGCCCATGTCTGGAGACTAGGCAGTTAGAGAAATGTATTGGATATCATTGCCTGGTTCGGTGGCAAAGGCAGTCTCACACAAGGGTCAGGATTGGAGACAGGAATCGGGCTGGGAAGGAGATCAGTTCTAACAGGTTGGTCTCTTTTGCCTGAATTAGTATCTGGAGAAAAGGTGAAGGTGGGTTAGCATCTAAACTCTTGGGGAGGGTGGCCAGGAGGAAAGAGTTCCCATACACATAGGGTTTGGGTCTCTATGCAGGAGACACACTACCAACGCCCCAGAACTACTACAAACTGAAAGTAGCTAGTGTTTTTTGTTTTGCTTTGTTTTATTTGTTTTTAGAGAGGGAGGTAGAGGGTGGGCTGGGAGGGTGGGAAGAGGCAGAGGGTGAGAGAGAGAGAAAACATTAAGCAGCTGCACACCCAGCAGGGAGCCCGATGTGGGGCTCGATCTCACAACCCTGAGATCATGAACTGAGCTGAAATCAAGAGCCAGATGCTTAACTGACTGAGCCCCAGAGGCGCCCCTAAAGTGGCTTGTTTTTGAAGGTCCAAATTAATCAGTGAGGCTGACATACATCAAAGCGGTTTTGCCCACCCAGCTCAGTCTTGATTCCATGCTGAGGGCCAGCAGTGGCCCTGTGGGGGAGCACAAACCTGGGAGTCAGAGAGACTGGCTGGAACCCCTTTGCTGCTCCTTACTAGCTGTGTGACCTTGAACGAGGTACTCGTGCTTCCCTGAGCTCCCATTTTCTTATCTGTAGAAGACACATAATCCCCACTGCGCAGAGTGCTGTCCTATGAGGACTAATTAAATTAGGTGAGCAGAGAATTTCTTTCTACTTCCTCTGCATTCCACTCACTACCACTACACACACACACACACACACACACACACACACACACACACACACGGCATCTTACCTGCAAGGTGACCGGAGGGGATAAGCCAATGATGGGGAACTAGCGCCACTGGCACCCAAAGAGGCAGGCAGGCAAATAGGTCTCAACAGCGTTGAGATCCAGGAGAGGAAAACATTTCTCAAAGGAAGGCTTTGGGGCTGAGAAGTCCACCTGGAGATTTCTCAGATATCCAGGCTCCCAGCAGCCTGTAGACGTCGTGCCAGTCCCCTAGCTGTCCTTTCTGCCCTGTGTTCTTTACGATTCTGATTAGACGGTCTTCCCATACCGCCCTAGTCTCTGCTTCCCTTTCACGCTTGGAGAGCCCCAGGGGGTAGGGCTGCTTCACCCTACCTCGTTCCACTGCCTTATCTAGGACTGCACCCACGGCCATCTGCCGGGCTCAGCCAGCAGAAAGTCGGGAAAGGGCTTGGTGGCTGGAGTAGGAGGGTGTGGGGTGAAATCAGGCTGTGCTGCGGCCAGTGACTCGCCCCTTGGTAATTCCCTCGCTGCTCCCCTTCTGCAAAATGGAGCTCGTACTTCTGCCTAGCTTGCAGGTGAGTGTCAGGGTCAAATGAAGGGATGCATTTGAATGGCACCTTACAATGTATGAAGAATTATCCAAGTACTGTTATCAGGGAAAGTGAGGGAAACTCACATTTTATCATCATCTCTCCTTTGTGCGGCGTTACAAACTCAATTGAGCAAAGTTTCTGCTCCTGAGAAGTCCTCAATTTCCAGGCATTTAAATTGCCCTTTGACTTTGAAAGAAGCAGGTGGAACACAAGGGCATTGGCTCGACGTGTTTTATGACACACGAGGCAGACAAGCACAAAAAAGTTGGAAACTCAGCTGCTGGCAGTTGACGAGTAGAGCCGGTTAGGGAGAGAGAGATGCGAACCATGGTTCTCACACTTGGCGCAGGCTTCAGAATCGCCCCCAAGGCCTTAATAAGCCAGACTGCTACGCCCGGTCCCCAGAGTTTCTGATTCCTAAATCCAGGCTGGGAGCCCCAGAATTTACATTTCTAAGAAATTTCTGGATGGTGCTGACGCGGCTGGTGGGGAAACCACACTTTGAGAAGCCTGGCTGTGAGCTATGCTTGCGTCTAAGTCTGTGAACGGAACTTCGCTTTAAAAATGAACACGGTGGTGGGGGAGGGGGGGTGCGCCTGCCTGGCTCAGTGGGTTAAAGCCTCTGCCTTTGGCTCAGGTCGTGATCCCAGAGTCCTGGGATCAAGCCCCACAACAGGCTCACTGCTCAGTGGGGAGCCTGTTTCCCCCTCTCTCTCTCTGCCTGCCTCTCTGCCTACTTGCAATCTCTGTCAAATAAATAAATAAAATCTTTAAAAAAAAAATGAACACAGGGGTGCCTGGCTGGCTTGGCCGGTGGAACGTGGGACTCTTGATCTCACAATTGTACCATCCAGCCCTACCTTGGGTGTAGAGACTCCTGTAAAAAAACTAATTTTTTTAAAAAGGTAAAAATAAACACAAATCCTTCATTCTTTCAGAAGTTATTACTGGGGGTGCCTGGTTACTCAGTTGGTTAAGTGGCTTTCTTCAGTTTATGTCATGATCTCGGGGTCCTGGGATCGAACCCCGCATCGGGCTCTCTGCTCAGCGGGGAGCCTGCATCCCCCCTCTCTCCTCCCCTTCTCTCTGCGTACTTGTGATCTGTCAAATAAATAAAATCTTAATTAAAAAAAAAAAAAGAGGGGTGCCTGGGTGGCTCAGTGGGTTAAGCCACTGCCTTCGGCTCAGGTCATGATCCCAGGGTCCTGGGATCGAGCCCCACATCGGGCTCTCTGCTCAGCGGGGAGCCTGCTTCCTCCTCTCTCTGCCTGCCTCTCTGCCTGCTTGTGATCTCTCTCTGTAAAATAAATAAATAAAATCTAAAAAAAAAAAAGAAAGAAAGAAAGGGACTAAGCATGTCCCAGCAAAGCCTGGACGACCAGTCACTCTACCTGAGCTGTACACAGTGGGTGCTCTGCATGTGTGTATCAGCTGAACATGATACAGTGACCCTCCCTGCAAGGCCTCCTGCCCTCCCACCATGTCTCACAGTGGGTGCAGAGGGAGGGGAGTTGAGCTCAGGGAGCTAGGAGAAGCAGGAAATGTGCACGCTACCATTTCTTCTATATCTGTCTTTGGCTATTGGGGCTGGAGTAGTGAGCCCCAAAATGGGGGTAGTTGGTTGTAGAGATGGGGAGCAATCAGACTGATGGTCAGTCAATGACACAACAGAAAATTCAAGATGGGCTGAGAAGACATTGCATTAGAGGCAGTACCTCAGACATGGAATTGAGGGATGTAGTCCATACTGCTTTGGCTGTTACTGTTGTGAATAGTAGATTCCTCTATTTTTTTTTTTAAGATTTTATTTTTAAGTAATCTCTGCACTCAGTGTGGAGCTTGAACTCACAACCCCCTAGATCAAGAGTCCCATGTTCTACCAGCCAAATGCCCCTTGAATAGTAGATTCTTATTTAGTTCTTCAGATTCTATCATTTTTCACTTAAATTTAAATCAGTTTCTTAGGGCTGTCATTGAAGCATCCAACTCTTGATTTCCACTTGGGTCATAATCTCAGGGTCATGAGATTGGGCCCCACGATGGGCTCCACGCTGAGCATGGAGCCTACTTAAGATGCTCTCTCTCTCTCTCTCTCTCTCTCTCCATCTACCCCTCCGAATCCCCACTCTCTCTCTCTCTCTCAAAAAAAAAAAAATTGTATATATATATATATATATATATATATATCGGCTTCTTGTGATCAAAAGATACATCTAATTCTGTTCTGGGTCACTGTTATCTTAGCATATTGGCTTCCATGTTATAAATGCCACATGTGTGGGGCGCCTGGGTGGCTCAGTGGGTTGAGCCACTGCCTTCGGCTCAGGTCATGATCTCAGGTTTCCTGGGATCAAGTCCCACATCGGGCTCTCTGCTCAGCAGGGAGCCTGCTTCCCTCTCTCTCTCTCTGCCTGCCTCTCTGCCTACTTGTGATCTATCTCTGTCAAATAAATAAATAAAATCTTTAAAAAAAAAAATAAATGCCACATGTGTTGAACCAATTTGATTTGATTTCAGGACAGTCATTCCAAAAACATGCTGAACCCGGTTGGAGAAATAAGGGTTCCACAATTGGGCCAAAATTCTTATCTCCTCATTCCATCATGAAGCTTGGGAGGACGTGGGAATTTACTCAGGTTCTCTAACATTCCTGGAAAAGAATGTCATAAGCACTTGAACTTCAACAAGTTGAGCCAAGAATGAATTACATAGTCACTAAAATTACATTCTGACTCCACAATCACAAGTGGTCTAGTAACAGAACAAAACAATCACGCACCAGAAGGAGCCCCTGATGAGTGCAGACTTTTTTTCCAAATGTGTCTACAGAGAGCAAGAGGAAGTGGTAAGTGTAGGTAAATACAGAAGGGCCGTGTGTGCGTACACACACACACATACACACGGCTTGGGGGAAATGAGAGAATATAAAATAGGCCTTTGTTCTCTTGTTTTATTTATTTTATTTATTTTATTTTTTTAAATTTGTTCATTTTAAACAATTCCTGTTTGGGGACCAAGAATAAGCAAAAAGATATGCCTGTCAGTGGAAGCAATGACAGACAGAAAGTAGGTGTTTCTAACTCTCAGTTTTGCTTTGATCTTCTATATCAAAAAGGGAAGGTTGACACTGAAACTGAATGAACAAAAAAGGAGCTAGCAGGGAAATGAAGTTCAAGTCAGTTAAGGAGACGCCCCAACGGTCCCTTTATAAGAGCTCCGGCATTCTGACCTCAACAAGCTACATCTCACGACACTGACACTGTTTGCCAATGTGACCAAAAGTGAGGCAGTAATCTTCGAGAAATGAGGAAAAGTGATAGACGATGGGGACACACAAAACTGTCTCAGCTTTTAAAATGAAAAATAAGGTACGTTCTGGAAGCAAAAGACTCATCAACTTGATGTTAACTCACAGCAGAGAAACCTTAAAATGGTTTACTCAAGCAGTTGGTGAGCATTCAGAAAATAAAGCAGCTGCACCAATACACCACAGTGGTTCCACAAAAACAAGAGCAGGCCAAGGTGTTCTCCTTTTCTCTTCTGAGTGCCTTGTGAGACAGGTGGAATGAGGAAAGGCAGACGTGTCTTGGTTTCTCCCTTTGGAAAAGTCCTTCCTGGTGTCTGGTGGATGAAGGGCTAAAAGTGGGCTACCTCAGTGTACAGTTTTACCAAAGTGTAACTTACTGCAAACTCAAAAGGCATTGACTGGGGGCTGCCAGATTCCCTATTTGACCCTCCCCTCATCAACAGGTATCAATAAGATTAATTAGGAAAGTTGACCAGCTCTGTGGGGGACACCAGGTTAGGAAGGAGCACTCATCTATGGGCTCTAGAATCAAGAATCAAAAGCATCTCGGCAAGCAGCAATGATGCTATGAAATTTTAAATTCAAGTAAAAAAAAAAATGAGCTCAGTAAAATTCAAATTTCAAGACATCCGATAAAAACAATTCAAATCCTACACTGTATAAATCCTTGGACACGAATAGAGGGCAGGGTCTCTGGGAACAAGGTAAGCGACTCAAAGCAATGTGCTCTTGAGAAAGGACCATCAGACGGACAGAGGAGGAGACTTGCCTGACACGGTTCACAGGAAACAACCCAGAAGTTATAAAGGAAAGTGGGAAATGTAGCATAAAAACAAGACAACTTTCCTGGAGGGTATGCGTGAGAACTGCCTCCAAGTATTTGAAGGGCAGTCCTCCGAATGAGAGATGAGACAAGTCCACATCTTGAGGTGAGACCCTCCCCAGAGGTCATGAGGACTAAGACCCCAACTCCGGGAAGACATTTCTTAGCATCGTCACTATCCAAAAATCCTATGAGCTGCAGGGTGAGGTAGTGAGGTCTCAGCTGCTCGGCCCACCCAGACTGAGTGGGCCCCAAGGCACAGAGGGTTTAAGAGACTCGATGTCCATGCTGAGGAGCTCATCATGTAGCTTATTCCCTTACACACAATACCCAGGATGGGATGAGGAGGGCAGCATCATGTAGTGGTTAAAATCTCTGCATCAGCCTGCCCAAGTTGCAATCCCAGCTCTGCCACTCGCTCACCGTGTGAGTGCAATGACTTTGAGCAAGTTCACTGACCATCACCCCCCACCCCGGGACCACGGGTTCCCCATCTGCAAACTGAGGATGATGGGAGCCTGGACCCCCAGGGAGCTACCGTGAAGTTGGGAGTCGATGGCCATGTGGCATCCAGAACAGTGTCTGGGGCGTAGGCAACACAAAATAGAGTCTGCAATTGATTCTGATTACTCCGCAATCTCTGTGATCGCGCTGAAGATTCCTGGGCACAGTGTGACATTCACCTGAGCAGAGAGGAGAACATCACTAGAAGAAGAGAAACGGGGTGTAGGTGCCTAGGGAGTAGAGAACACAGAGACCAGCACAGCAGAAGTAAAAGGGGAAAGCCAGAGACCTCTCCCCTCATGCAGGAACCCACGTGATTCCTAAAGCTGGCAGACATTTCCATCCCCAAGTCCCCCTTAAGATGCAGGCTGCTGGCTGGTGTTTGTGGACAGCAAGAGTCTGGGGTCTAGGGCTCAGCCTCGGCGGATGGTGGCATGGGCTTCTCAGGCTCCACCCCCAGATCCATGATCCGGATGGTGTTTTCCTTCTTGGAAAGCCAGAAGGCAGGGTAGACCGGCTCTGAAAACTTACACTCAAACTTGTGAATCAGAGTCATGGCATCGGGCTCTACCCCATAGAAGGAGAGGACCCCCCCCAGAAAGTCCACATAGATCCCCAGCCTCCGGAAAGGGCTGGCTTTGAGCGGGGTTTCCGTGTCGCTGTGCCAGGCTGTGAACTCCTTCCCGTTCCAGTGGAGGCTCCAGGAGAAGTTGTTTCCAGAAATGCAACTGTTGCGCTCCTCCCCTTTCCGGTCAATGCCTTTGCAGGTCAGGCCAACATAGGTGCCCGCTCCCGAGATCTCTACCTCGAAATAGTACCTGTGCAGGTAAAGGCTCTGTGTGGACAGCACCTGCCGCCAGTGCACGAACCTGCTGGGGAGGTCCGGGTAGGGATGCTCCCAGGGCGTGGTGTTGGTGACCTTGCGATTGTCCTCCTGCAGCCGGAGATACCTGTGCGCCGTGTCCGGGTCAAAAGAGATGTCACATGCATCTGAGGGGATATGGGAGAAGGGCGGGGAGGCAGGTCAGGAAGGGACAGCTGCTCTTGACAGGACACTTTGAACCCATCCCACTTCCCAGGTAAGAGAAAACATCTCTCTCCTCTGCTCTGTTTACCCCAGGCCACTGCTCCCCCCAGAAAAGTGGTGGGCGAAAACCAGGAGCAGAGAACACAAGTCATGCCACTTCCTTCCTTTCTGAAGTTCAAATTGCTTGGCATTGACTGTGCGATTTACAGAACTGAATCAAGAAATAAAACCCCCTGATTTAGTCATTCATTCATTCGAAAAATACGTATCGAAAGCCAGGCACTCGTCTTCTTCTCAGTGTTGGCAAGGGTTTGTGGAAATAGGCACTCACATACCCACTCCTGATTCTTTTTTTTTTTTTAATTTGACCAATATTTAGCATGGTAAACTCTCACCCATTCCCTCAAACATACTCATTTCCAAATCCCAGAGAATCAAAAAATAATGGCACCTCCTTGCACCCAGTTGCTGGAGTCACACTGAAGTTATTCTGGAAATTTCTTTGCGCCCAGCCTCCCCACCGCCCCCCACAACACACAGACAGCCCCAAGCCTGGTAGATCCCACTTCTGTGCAAACCACTGCTTCACCCCCAATCTAGTCCAGAATCATACAACAGGCTCCTAGCTGTCCAAGCTGCTCTGTCTTGACCCCCTTCCATCCCCTGTCCACCACAGAGCCATGGAGCAGGTTTCAGGGTACAGGCTAAGGTAAATCATGTCACCCCAGCTTTAAGACCTTGGATAGTGCCTCTTGCCCACAGAATGCAACAGTGGCCCATCACCCCGGCCTGCACAGCCAGGGATGACTGGCCCTTGCCCATGTCTCCAGCTTTGTCTCCTGCCCTCTGGCCCTTGATGGCCATGGTCTAGCCATCCTGGCCTCAGAAATATGCAGCGCTGAGCCCACTTCGGAGTTTTAGCACAGACCATTCTCTCCGTGACATCATCATCACCCTAACCTGAGCCTGGGAGATTCCTGCTGATCTTTCAAATTGTAGCTGAGAGCTCATGTCCTCAAGGAGGCCCTCTGTGACTCGCCACCACTTTCTCTCAGAGCCCTCCGACTTCTTAAGGGTCATGGTACTCCACACAATGGGTATAATCTATTTACTTATGGGTTCGTTTCATGCCCGTCTTCCTTCTGATCTATAAACTCCACATTTCACATGGGACCGGATCTTGGACTTCTAGCTCAGAGATGTTCAGTATATATTCCCCAAGGGAATTAGCATATTCAAGTCTATTTAAAATCCATTAATATAAAAAACTATTTTAGATTAACCCAGAGTTTTCCAAACTTCTTTGTGTCTAGGGAAGGGAAATTCTTTTTTGTTGTTGTGGGTTTTTTGTTTTGTTTTGTTTTTGTAAGGGAAATTCTTAGCAGTCAATGAATCACTTTAGAAGGAAAAAACAAGGACACAACAATCTAAGAGGTTAAAAGGAAAAATGAAAGGGCTCCTGCGTGGCTCAGTCGGTTGACTGTCCGACTCTTGATTTCAGCTCAGGTCATGGTCTCAGGGTCGTGAGATCGAGCTCCACGTCAGGCTCTGCATGCAATCTGCTTTAGATTTTCTCTCTCTCCCTCTCCATCTGCCCCTCCCCCAGCTCTCTCTCTCTCAAAATAAATAAACAAAATCTTAAAAAAAAAAAAAAGTGAATGTGAACCAAGGACCATAAAAAGGCATACAGGTGCTCACTTTGGCAGCATCTATACTAAAATGGGAATGATACAGAAATGAGCACGGTCCATGGGCACAGGTCACATGCAAATTTGTGAAGTATTCCATATTTTTAAAGGCAGCCAAAGGTACAAAGTTCCAGCTATAAGAGAAGTCCAGGGGATGTCATGTACTTCACAGTGACTATCGTTAACGAGACGGTGCTGCAGATCTGAAAGTTACTAAGAGAGTAGATCTCAAAACTTCTCATCATTAAAAAAAAGAATTTTGTAACTATGTGAGATGATGGATGCTAACCAAACTTTTCATTTCACAATATAGGTGTATGTCAAATCATTATCTTGTACACGTACAACTAGTATACATTATATGTCAATAATACCTCAAAAAATGTGTTTTTTTGTTTTTATGCATTTGAGAGAGAGAGAGAAAGAAAGAGCACAAACAGGGGGAGAAGCAGAGGGAGAAGGAGAAGCAGACTCCCCACTGAGCTGGGAGCCTGATGCGGGCTCAATCCCAGAATCTGGAGATCATGACCTGAGACCAAGGCTGATGCCTAACCATCTGAGCCACCCAGGTGCCCCAAAAAATGTGTTTTAAAAACGCATATTTTGGGGCGCCTGGGTGGTTCAGTGGGTTAAAGCCTCTGCCTTTGGCTCAGGTCACAATGTCAGGGTCCTGGGATCAAGCCCCGCATCAGGCTCTCTGCTCAGCAGGGAGCCTGCTTCCCCCTCTGTCTCGGCCAGATGCTCTGCTTACTTGTGACCTCTGTCTGTCAAATAAAGAAAAAAAAATTTTTTTTTAATTCTTTAAACTCTTTAAAGGAGAAAGAGTGGTCCCCACTGGTCAAGTTGACAATTTGAGCCACATGACTTTGACAGGTCCAACAAGTGGACTCTATATAAAAGTTTGTAACAATCCCCAAAAAGACAAAGTTAATATAGGGTATGAAAAAAGACCTCCAGGGGCGCCTGGGTGGCTCAGTGGGTTAAGCCGCTGCCTTCGGCTCAGGTCATGATCTCAGAGTCCTGGGATCGAGCCCCGCATCGGGCTCTCTGCTCAGCGGGGAGCCTGCTTCCTCCTCTCTCTCTGCCTGCCTCTCTGCCTGCTTGTAATCTCTCTGTCAAATAAATAAATAAAATCTTTAAAAAAAAAAAAAAAAGAAAAAAAAAAAGAAAAAAGACCTCCATAATGCCAAATAACAGAGGTTATAATACAATACGTTTCATCTTTATCTTAATGTCAGGAATAAAGCGTATTTGGTTTCTTGTATTCATTAGATCTGTGTATAACAATACAGATGTGCTTCTTTCAGGAAGCAGGAAAGAATACATAAAGGAAACTATGTGGAAGTGGAGAGGTCCTGAGAAAAAGTAGGAGCCGTGGCAAAAACAGGAAACGGTCCTTGGAACCTGGGGCTCCATGGAGAAGGAGGTCCCGCACTTAGCCAACCAGTGCTCACCCCCAGAAAACAAGCAGTAGCAGGATTCAACGGTGTGTCCCAAAAAGATTAATTTGCCAAATGTCATAAAAATATGCAGTCCTGCCTCTCCTGGGAGATGAAAGCATATGGACTGGTTATGTCCTGATCGGAAACACAGTGTTTTGGTTTTTTTTTTTTTTAAGATTTTATTTATTTATTCATGAGAGACAGAGGGAAAGGCAGAGGCAGAGGCAGAGGCAGAGGCAGAGGGAGAAGCAGGCTCCCCAAGGAGCAGGGAGCCTGGTGCGGGACTGGATCCCAGGACCCCTGGGGATCATGACTTGGCCAAAGGCAGACACCTAACCTTCTGAGCCACCCAGGCGCCCTTGGAAACACAGTGTTCTAAAACATGCTAACAGACCAGGTCATTACCACACAATGACAGGACAACAGATTACTCAGTTCTGGCCAAGCCAGACTTAAAAGGGAGTCATCTGGTAACCAGCCAGGAGCTTCCAAAGTGCCAAGCGCATGAAAGACAGACTAAGGGATTGGACGCAGGTTGGGGGAGACTAAGGAGGCAGGGAAACATCTGTGATCCTGGATCGGACTAGGGGCCAGAAAAAGGACACCGGTTAGCACGCTGGGTGAAACACTCAGATAATTCTACAGATTGGTTAATAGTAGTGAACTGATGTTCATTTCCTGGTTTTGGTCAATTTACCGTAGTTATAGAAGTGTTAATGTTCAGAGAAGTCTGATGAAAGGTATACCAGAATTCTGTCCTATTTTCTCCACTGCCTTTGTGAGTTTGAAATTGTCTCAAACATGAAAAGTAAAAAATAATAATAATAAAAAATTTCAAAAAAATTTAAGTATTCCATTTAGGGGTAGACTTGAGTTTGCAACAGCCTGAAACTTACAGGAAAAACAGTGTTCTTGCTTCAACAAGCCTTACACTGACATCAGTAAGTGGGTAAGGAAAGCTGTTTGCAACTTACATTGGAGGAACTGCTGCCTGGTGCTGGGCTCAGGTTTTGAGGTCCAATACTTGCGCTTGACAACAGCAGACACTTGAGTGCTGATATCATACTCCTCTGGAAAATCAGAGAGTTATACATGCATACCTGTCCAGGTGGTCAGGAGAACGTAAGAAGCAGGACTTCCCAGCCTCTCTTCCCCGGGCTCCCTGGGGAAGAAAGGGCTGGACTCTAGTCACATCAGAGAGAATCACGCTCAATGGATGATTTCTCTGTGGGTGAAACAAAATCCGCTGGAGAATGATCCTGAGCTGACTTGGATCTCACTTCAAAGTACAGGCATTAGCAACCTCGGAAACTAGTCAGGGAAATTCGAGCCAGTGGCAGGATGTAACTAACTCAACTTCTCTGGGTTTGCATCATAAAATCAAATCATCAAGGTAAGTGCCTGTTAGCCACTGGTCTGGCCAAAGGACAGCTTTGAACATGAGCTATTCCCCCTGATTTCACCCTCTGTCCCCTGGCTCTTTCCCACTCTGAGAAACACACATTCCATCGCCCACAGCCCAGACAGCTTTCTTCACCTTCCTTGGAGAAATCCTGGAGCTTCTCCTTGTAGTTTTGCAGCAACTGAACTAAGTGCACCGTGGAGTCTGTGATGACCCGGCGGATGCCCGAGAGCTTGTCCTTGAGTCCGATGTAAACACTAGGGAAGGCACTGTCCTCGGTGTTCTTAAACTTGCAGTACTCCTGCAGGAAAGGAAACATGGCAGAACTTGCCTTCGTTTCTGAAGTTCTGAAACTGGACTGCTCTGGTGACCTCACTTCCTGCATCTGTAAAATGGGTTGATGGCAATGCAGCCATCACAAATCAGGCATACGTAACATGTCTAGCTCAGGACCTAGTAACGTAGAAAGCATTTTTTTTTTAATTGGGAAAGTGGGCTTTTAAAAATCAAGAGGCATGCACAAAAAATAAACATAAAAAAACAAAAATAGGGGCGCCTGGGTGGCTCAGTGGGTTAAAGCCTCTGCCTTCAGCTCGGGTCATGATCCCAGGGTCCTGGGATCAGGCCCTGCTTCCGGGTCCCTGCTCGGCGGGGAGCCTGCTTTCCCCTCTCTCTCTCTCTGCCTGCCTCTCTGCCTACTTGTGATCTCTGTCTGAAAAATAAATAAATAAAATATTTTTAAAATAATAATAAAATAAAATAAAAAATAAAAATAAAAATCAAGAGACACACACACACAAATTAAAATTAAAAAATAAAAATAAAAACCAAGAAACACTAGATGCCTAGGAACAGCTCTAAGGCACCTCCCAGATTAGGGACCAAGGACAAGAACACCTTGTTTGCCAACATTCCAAATAGCAACAGAAGCATTCCCGCTACCTCCATTCCTTTGGGACTTTTGTTTTTTTAAGAAATTTTTTTTAAAGATTTTATTTATGTATTTGAGACACAGAGGGAGCATGATCTGGTGGGGGGGGGGGCAGTTGGAAGAGGCAGAGGGAGAGGGAGAAGCAGACTCCCCGCTGAGCAGGGATTCCCAGGACCCTGGGATCATGGCCTGAGCCAAAGGCAGACGCTTAACCAACTGAGCCACCCAGGCGCTCCTCTTTTTTAGAATTTAAACAGAAATCACGGTATGGAAGGGAGGAATGGAGGTGGAGGTTCAGCCCTAGGAAGACCCATGAACAGGTCCTCAGACAGGAATGCTGCCTTTGTCCTTCCCGTTCAGTCTGATACACAGGCTCTCTCTCATTCTTACACTGTGCTGTAGAGTTTGGAAGTGCCTTCAGGTGATAACATATGAAGTTGTTTACGCTTCGAAACAAGGCAGTGATGGGGAAAGGTTGCTCTCAGATGCAACACAGTATCAACATCCAAACACAGCGGAACATCATCCCAGAGCAGACTGGATACAGCAGAAAACTTAGCAATGGAAAGTTGTACCAGAATGGTTAGGCAGATTAACAAGAGAGAAAAAAAGTCCAACCCAGAGAGTTGACAGAAAGAGAAACATTTTAACACTGCATACAGATTTAGTGCCATACATGAGAAAAGTGTTATTTTAAATTAGTTGGGGGAAGGGGCACCTGGATGGTTCCATCAGTTAAGCGTCTGCCTTCCCCTTAGGTCATGATCTCAGGCTCCTGGGATGGAGCCCTGTGTGTGTGTGGTGGGGGCGGGGGGGGGGGGTCCCTGCTCAGTGGGGAGCCTGCTTCTCCCTCTCCCTGCAACTCCCTGTCACTGGGGCTCTGTATATCTCTTTCCAGTACATAAATAACCTTAAGAAAAGGAAAGAAAGCTATTGACTCGGTACCTGATTGTCTGATAAATGAGGAATTTGAGACCCAGAAAGTTTCAGTGACCTGGTTAATAACTACACAGCTATTCAGCGACAGATCTGGGATGATGGCATTAAAGCACCTTATTCCCCAAATCAGTTGTGGTCTCTCAAACGTCTCTACCCGTGCGTAGGCTCTACCCGGGTCTCTTTGGACATGACTTACTTCCCCTGACCCGGTTCCAGCCTCCCACTCTGGGAAGTCTGGCCTTCCCCTCCCGGATTCCCATATTCTGCTAATACCCACTTCCCTCTGTGTCCCCGGCTTCCTGAGCACCCCCCATATAAAGGAGCACTTCCACTCCTGCGTTCCCCACCTCCGCCACAGGCCTCGCCAGTGAGGGTGCTCCCTGGCACTAATGAACCTGATGCCTCTGCCTCCGTCCCCGCACACCCCACACCACCCCACCCCCACCCACCTCCAGGAACAGGACGGTGTTGCTGATGGCGGCAATCCTCTCCAGCTCCTGCCGGCTCTTCTCCATCTGTGCGCTCCGGTGCTCCAGGTGCGTCTTGATGCCGTTGGCCTGGCTCAGAGCCGCTTGCTCCTTCTCCTCCAAGAAGAGCATCACGTCGGCCTGGGCCTTCCTCATGGCGGCAAGCAGCTCCCCAAACTGCTCCTCAGCCACCGCCTTCACCTCTGACACCGACAGCTGGCGAGGGAGGGGGCAGAGAAGAAAAGGTTAGCGAGGCGTGCAAGGTTCTGGAAGCTCAGCCCACAGGACCGTAACCCCGAAAAGCCCGTAAGTTAGGGATCAATTTTCTATTATAAAAGGAAGATTTGGGGGTTCCTAGGTGGCTCGGTTGGCTAAGCGTCTGCCTTCTGCTCAGGTCTTGATCTCAGTGTCCTGGGATCGAGCCCCATGCTGGGCTCCCTGCTCAGTGGGGAGTCTACTTCTTCTCCAACTGCCCCTCCTCCCTCCCCACACAGCCCCCTCCAAATAAATAAATTAATTAAATTAAATCTAAAAGGAAGATTTTATTCTCCTATAAATCCTGGAGTCCTGAAAAAAAAGGGGGGGTTTACTTATCCACCACCATCAACTTCATCTCTCATACATCTGATGCTCTCTGAGACTCCTGGTGGCTCGGACAGTCTGGGGTTACGATTCAAATATCTGAACTCAATTCTCCCACCAGGGAAATGCATGCACTCAGTATACTCAATGGTTCTCTTTCTTTCAGGACAGTAGTAATTTGGCTTCTTTGCCCAAAATCAGTAACATGAGCTCACTTTCCCGACATTTCATGACGTCAGATTAAACTGCCCACTGAGCCCATCAGAACTGAAAGGACGTCTAAGTGTATGGTGTCTCCATCAGGTATAAAATGTTTAGGGTCGGGGCACCTGGGTGGCTAGGTAGGTTAAAGCCTCTGCCTTTGGCTCAGGTCATGATCCCAGGGTCCTAGGATCGAGCCCCGCATCCGGCTCTCTGCTCAGCAGGGAGCCTGCTTCCTCCTCTCTCTGCCTGCCTCTCTGCCTACTTGTGATCTCTGTCAAATAAATAAATAAAGTCTTTAAAAAAAAATGCTTAGGATATGGGCAGGTAGCCACAGCCCCTGAGCATGGCAGGACCCACACACCTGTGCAGAAGGACTGTATTGTCCAAATGAAATACAAAGCAAAGTCCATGTCATAAACACTAAGGGTCTGCACAATGGCACTTAGGCAGGTGCACGTGTACACTGCCCTTTCATAGGATGAACATCCTTTATGCCTGCCTTCAGTCAATATCATGTTTATAATATCAAGGCAAGTGTAAATGCTTTCCTCGGTCCTTTGGCATTTCCTCAGGACCGGAGCTGACAGCTCTGTCTGACACCCAGTTTAAGCTTCATCGAACCGTCCTGGACATGCTTGCCTTTGCTCACAGTCCCTTCACCTCATTCCACAGTCCAGAGTTAGTTCTCTGCCTGCCTCAGTGTCCCCCACTGTCCCCACCCACACCGATCCCATCTCAGAGCAATCCTGAGCAACTCCCCTGGGTGCTTTCTCTGTTCCTCCTCTCAAGAGCAAGGGCCAGCCCTGGGTTCCAGGGGGGCCCAAACAACAGATACCTCAGAGACTGAGGCTGCTAGGGCACCTCCGTCCCCTGGAAGGAAAGATGGGGAGGGAAGGAGGAGAATAAGGGGGGCCTGGAAGGGAAAGGAAAGGAAAGGAAAGGAAAGGAAAGGAAAGGAAAGGAAAGGAAAGGAAAGAAAAGGAAAGGAAAGGAAAGGATGGCACTCTGGGCCCAGGGCTTGTGAAAGCCTTAAGGTTTGCAGGGAGATAGGAAGAAATGATGAGGCCAGGTAGTTGGGAACCCTGCCTGGTCAGGGCTCAGGAATGCATGCCCACAAGAATGTTTAGTGGCCGCCCAGTCTTCAATCTACTGGCAAGGGAGGATAGATGGAGATGGAGGAGGAAGGAAGCGAGAGCATCTTTACTGGGGGTGGGAAGACGGGTAGAGCCTCTCTCTACACTGTCATTTTCTTGCCAACTGCCCCATCTCCACCCGTTGGCTTGCTCGAGGCCAGGGCAGCTGAACAGAACTAGAAATAAATGAGCTGGTAATGGGGACTAAGTAAGAAGGCAGATGGGAGATCATCCCCAAATTCCTCAAGCCCAGACAGAGAAGAGCCCATGGAGAACAGTAGCTGTCATGTAAATGTCCAACATTAAATCTGTCATCCCTGGGGCGCCTGGGTGGCTCAGTGGGTTAAGCCTCTGCCTTCGGCTCAGGTCATGATCTCAGGGTCCTGGGATCGAGCCCCCCATCGGGCTCTCTGCTCGGTAGGGAGCCTGCTTCCTCCTCTCTCTCTGCCTACTTGTGATCTCTGTCAAATAAATAAATAAAATCTTAAAAAAAAAAAAATCTGTCATCCCTAAAGCATCCATTTCCAAAGATACCATCTGGAATAAACAGATTGATGACTGTGTGACATGGCTGGGAGCACCACAACTGGGCAAGGGATTGGGCCACCCCACCACCAAGCTCCCTCTTTCAGAATTCCCTGGGGGGTCTAGGTATCTGTCCCCTTGAGTGACCCTGCGTCTTCCCAAGATTGAATTCTTGCTCTTTTTTTTTTTTTAAGATTTTATTTATTTATTTGACAGAGAGATCACAAGTAGGCAGAGAGGCAAACAGAGAGAGAGGAGGAAGCAGAGAGCTGAGCAGAGAGCCCGACGAGGGGCTCGATCCCAGGACCCTGGGATTACGACCTGAGCCGAAGGCAGAGGTTTTAACCCACTGAGCCACCCAGGCGCCCCTGAATTCCTGTTCTTATGCTTGAAATAAGCCAACTAAAAGTGAACCCATGAAACCCTAGACACCCACCTTGAACCCCAATAAAGGCAGACCCAGGTCTGTACTCTCTCCTTCCCTCTCTACCTGCAACCTTGCAGTGTGGCGTGTGGCCTCTGGCAGCATTCTGTGTCCTCCAAGACCTTTGAGTAATAAATCTCGTTCTTCAAAATGCCCTGAGAGGGGCGCCTGGGTGGCTCAGTGGGTTAAGCCGCTGCCTTCGGCTCAGGTCATGATCTCAGGGTCCTGGGATCGAGTCCCACATCGGGCTCTCTGCTCAGCAGGGAACCTGCTTCCCTTCCTCTCTCTCTGCCTGCCTCTCTGCCTACTTGTGATCTCTCTCTGTCAAATAAATAAATAAAATCTTTAAAAAAAAAAAAAATGCCCTGAGAGTTCCCAGCTGACATGCATCCCACAATCGCAAGTTTCTCATAGAAGCACAACACCACGAGGCTGAGAAGCAGGAGTCTGAAGAGAGACTTCAGGGTCCAAATCCCCTCTCTTCCACCAAGGCCTTCCTGAGGAAGACTGGATAGAAGGAGGCTTCAACTGATGTTGGCGTACTGACTCTTCCACTGTCAAATGTGACCTCTCTTTCCTACACTGTTATATGGAGAAATACTTGTTCCCCAGGGCGCCTGGGTGGCTCGGTCATTAAGCATCTGCCTTTGGCTCAGGTCATGATTCCGGGTCCTGGGATAGAGCTCCCTGCTCAGCAGGAAGCCTGTTTCTCCCTCTCCCTCTGCCTGCGCTCCCCCTGCTTTTGCTCTCTCTGTCAAATGAATAAATAAAATCTTTCCAAATAAATAAATAAATACTTGCTCCTTGCATGGAAATGGAATATGCAAAGGATATTTTTTTACATAATGTGTAATGACAAAGAAAGACTAAAGAGAGGAGGGGCCACACGGGTAGCAAAGTATGGAAGCTAATGGCTTGAAGAGATTGAGGATGGTGCTTGCACCTGTGAACATCCTGAGTTTCTTAGGTTGAGGGAGCAGCAATCCCAGGTTCCTGTTTCATCAATCTGGGCCCCCCAGACAAGTCTCGCCATCGCTCTGTGTTCTTGTCCCTCGTACATGCTGGCTATTGTGAAAACTACCTCCCCAAGTTAGCACACAGTCATGAGAAAAGCTGAGTGGGAATCAAAGTGTCTGAAAAATAAAGGGCTAGAAAAAAGGCAGGATGCTTCGTGTGGTTTTCTAGATTATCTTGAGCCTGGAAATCAATAATCTCCAAAGGTTTACAGACTTTAAAATGAAAATTATTTCTCTTCTTTTCATAAGATGATGTGGGTGCGAAAGAGGTGTTGATCTTTCACAGCTAGTGAGTTGTAAACACCAAGAAGGAGGAAATTAAGTTGAAATGGATAACATGTATCAGATGTGGGTGGGTGGATGGATGGATGGATGGAAGGATGGATGGATGGATGGATCAATGGATCGATGGATGGAAAGATGGATGGATGGATGGAAAGAATAATTCATGGTATGCAAAGACGTTGCTGCTGACTCACTACCATAGCTTAGGTGTTTCGCATTCTTTTTGGAATGATGGTTTGGCATTCCACTAATGAGAAGTATTTGTGGAACTCTTTGGGTCCACTTAGAATTTATATGAAAAGTGTCCATAAACTAGAGAGACTAAAACCAAGTAGCATGGCACACCACTGGCCTTATCAAGTTACCATCCACTAATTAAGCAGTTCTCCACTCTTTTTTCTTGCTGCCAGGACACAGGACTGGTGACACTCGCATGCTAAGCACCTTCCTAAGATAGAAACCCAGATTCTCTGCCTGATTCATAGAGGTCTAGCTAGATGCCCCCTCCGCCCCCCACCCCCAGGACGCCTTTCTCCTGGTCAAAAAAGCATACGCAAATGTAAAAACAAGAATGCTGTTATCACAAGACCAATCTGGCTCTTACTCTGTATCATTAAAAAGTAAATCACTTGCCAGTTTTGAACCTTAATTTCATAGGAAAAGCTGACAGCGAGCTGAGGCCCCCCCACCATGGAACCGCTCATACCTCTACCTACAATTCTCATTTGCCAAGAAACCCCCGAGGAGCCCATGGACATGGAGGCTGGGCCTGCGACCCCATGTCCCACAACCCCAGATGGGCACAGCAGGTGACCCAGAGCAGCCTTACCAAAACGGATTTGTGATTGGCTTGGAGCCTGGCAATGGCGTTTTCATTCAACTTCAGCTTCCGTTCCAGCTCTAACTGGGTGTCCCGAAGCTCAGCCTAAGAGGGAAGAACGGCGTTAAGGAGTGTACACAGAATGTGTCCCCAGGAGCAAAGGCGCTACCCACCCCTCCTGCGTGGAAAGGAGAATCTGACCTTGGGAGCTACCTCAGAAGCCACGTGGAAGGCCCTAAAAGGACACGAAGGGTCAGCTGTGCCAGCGCCTCCTGGTGCTGAACTCAGAACAGATCAGCTAAAAATACCACGAGCACATACATTATGGACACTAGTCATTACTTCCAGCATTGAGATGATCAGCTTGTATCGTCCTAACCACACCCATGGTAGCTAAGTACCATTATCCCCATTTCTCAGATGATACCATCAAACCACCTGGTCAAGGTCACACAGTTCAACACTGGAGTCCAGCCCAGCCCAGCCCATCTGCCCCCAGAATAACGTTAACAAGGAGTAGGAGCTGGAGCCAAGCATGGGAACCCCAGCTTTTCTACTTAGCAGCTGATCCTTTGGAAAAATCTATTTAACCTCTCTAGGCTTCCATTTCTTCACCTGTGAAATGGGGATAACGAATGCACCCAACCCATGGGGGGTTTGTGAGGACCGAGAGAAAGAGCGTGTGTTAATGCAAACTTGCTCCAGCAGCTGGCACATTGTGTGTGTGCCACCAACGTCAGCCATCGTGGGGGCCCCTCTTCTTGGTTACTGCTACTGGCTAATGACAGAGCAGAAGCGGACACCCTGCAACCTCCCTCCCTCCACCTGCCACTTCTGGGTGGGACCTGTGTGACATTCTTGTAAAGATCTCCCAACTATCTTTTTTTTTTTTTAAGATTTTATGTATTTATTTGAGAGAGAGAGAGAGAGAGCATGAGAGGGGAGAAGGTCAGAGGGAGAAGCAGACTCCACAGAGCTGGGAGCCTGATGTGGGACTGGATCCCAGAACTCCAGGATTAAGACCTAAGCCAAAGGCAGTGGCTTAACCAACTGAGCCACCCAGGCATCCCTAAAGATCTCCCCACTATCTTAAAGTCAATGCCTTGCTAGAGAGAAAAACAACCTTAATTTGACAATGGCAAGGCCTCCAGTATCTTGTGGGTCCTCTTTAGCATATGAAAGTTCTCTTGAAACCTCTCTTTTCTTTACTTCCCCCATCTCCCAAGTATATAATCAGCCATCCTCCCCCCACCCAGGACCGCACTGGGGCAGCAGGTCTTTCCGCCCACGGGGCCCATCCCAGGCTTTAATAAACCACCATTTTGCACCAAAGACATCTCAAGAATTCCTTCTTGGTCCCAGGCTCCGGACCTCACCCCATAGAACCTCACCTAGATTCCAAAACCACATCACTACCATGGCCACTCTCCATCACACACTCACCACCAAGAGCCAGGCCAAGCTAGGCCTCCCGGCATGGGCAAGTGCGTGCCTGAGAACCTCAGGTTTGCCAGCTCTGACTCCACTGCCTGTTTCACCCTTCTGTCTGGAGACTCCCTAAACACTTTCTGCCAAGAAGTGGGCCAAGGCATGAAGCCTAAACCTTTGCGGTCTTCAAAGGCCCTCCAAGGGCATGAGTCAGCAAGAGAGAAAAGACAAGACTGGTTTTAAATGCTTCCAATGGGTTCTATCTGCATCAGAAGCTTCACGTTTGCGCCCTAAGGGAACTCAGTGGGCATCAGTGGTCTCTGCTTCCACCCCACCCCACCCCCCAACCTCTACCCCCCACTACCCCCTCCCCCCCACCCGCAGGAAGCCTGGGGAAAATTCCAGGTACCCAGGGACCAGAGGCCTGGCTCACTCTGCAGAAGGCACAGAACTTCTTAGTTTTGTTTTGTTTTGCTCAGGATCTGGGGTGCTGACTTGGAGCTGAGGGGGCCCTGTGACCCCCATCCCTGAAACCTTTTTTGGGGTGGGGGAGGGTCTGGCCTATATGAGGGCAGTCCTGTAAAGGTTGAAGGTGGGGGGAGGGGGGGTGAAGTGCTTGTTTTAAGGTGGTGAAGACCACAACAGAACACATCCCGGCGAGGGGCCTGGGTAGCCCCAGCAGGATCCAGAACCATGGGGGGAAATCCCAGAAAGTAGCCAGGAAGGGGATGTTCTCCCTTGCCTGCAGATTGCCATAAAAGGAGAAAAGGACTACCGAATGGGGACCTCTCTGAGTCACCCCAAGGGAAGACACTCCGGATTATCACAAAAGGTAGGGCCGCTTTGGGAGACCTGCCTCTCCAGTTATGCCTGTTCCTAGAACATGACAGGGTGCCTCGGGCTCTGTCTCTAGGGTTTCCCAAGATGCCAGCCATTCACTCGTCTCAGGCCAGGGTGGATAGACTCGTCAGAAAAGCGGGACAGCAGTGCCGATGAGAGCAGGCAGCCCTGTATTGAAGGGCACAGAGGGTCCTGCCTTCTTCAGCAAGGTAGTAAGTGTTGTGCAAAAGGCACAGTTTGGGGGGCTTGAAGACCCGCCACTGTTGGCCATCTGATCTCTTGTCAAATCGCTAAGCTTCTCCCCTGCGGCATTGGGCACAGGAATAGATTAACATAATTGTTCTTGCTTCTATCTACAGGGGAAGGTGGTACCCAGAGCTTAGGGGTCAGACTTGGGGTTAGAGATGCAAATAGGAGCAGGAGAAGGAGAGAGAAGAAAAAAAATTCCAGGCGGTCCAGGTTCCTCTCTGTATTTCCACCCACACAATGGTGGCCTTTCTGAGTCCGCCTGGACTGACTTCATTCCCCAGCCAGTTGGTCAGAACCTACCACAGGCCAGTCCCATCAAATAGGACACCCTCCCTGCTCTTGGAAGACATACAGCCTGGTAGAATGTGTAAGAACAACAACAACAACAAAGAACAAGTTATGTGATACTGAGTCCAAGGCATTCCTCAGAACTTCTAGAAGAAATTCTTTCCCTGAGTGCCCTCAAAGCATCCATGTTGTGACCACCAGCAAAGGGGCTATGGAAAATGCTGGTTCCTTGCTCCCCAGCGATGCATGAATACCTGTGGCTTGCAGAAACTTGGCTCCTGCTCTGTAAGGAGACTGTGTCCCCAGGCTGCTTCCAGTCCCGATCCTTCTGGAACCGGTGCTGAGGCTGAATGTAATGTGGGCCCATGATCTAAGACAGATCTTCCCACTCTCAAGAACCCTGCTATCACTCTTGCTGACAACTCCTTCCAGGACCAGGTAGCCTCAGCCCTTAGGTATTTCCAGGGAGCCGTGGAACCTGCCTTGCCTTCCTCCTTCAAATCCAAGCCCCCTGAGGACACAATGTGGTCTCACACTGAGCCCATAGGAAGCAATCGATGATGTGTGATAAGCTTGAGGAAGAACAAGAAAGAACCATGCGCACTTCTGGGGTCAGAACAAACAAGGTAATGGCCAGTGGAGTCCAAGTTTTATCAGGTTTTGCATGCACGCAGGCAGGTACACAACCAGGCCAGCCGACCTTAAAAGCAAAGGGGCCTTAGGAAGTAGGCCTGGGGCAGAGAGAAGTCCCCATCAGGAAGAGCCAGGATCTGGTAGACCAGCAGGATGGAACATGTATCAAAGAGCAGCCATTTCCCCAAATCCGGAAGTTCTGTCCACTGGCATAGCTAGAGACGGGAGAAGCTTCAGGAGGGGTTCCCTTGGTTAACTGAGAAGTCAGTGGCTCTGGGGATCTGATGCAGATCTCAGCTGCTTTGTGTTCTCGTGACTGACCCAGCTATTTACACTTTTCCTACAAGGACGTGCCTGCTTGAGTAATTAGCCCTTAACACAATCAAAAGTGACCTTCAGTGAGTCACTCCAGCAGGCGGGGGCCAGCTGAAGGGGATACGAGGTTTCTGGGGCCTTCGTTATGCCAGGTAAAACTTTCAAAATAATTCTGGGGGCATTTTCAGTCTCATCAACCCATTGTGTCTTCTGGGCTGATCTCTTGGGCTCCTTGTGAGAAATCTTTTGGCTCCTAAGATTTGGCAGAGACACCTGGAGTGTGGCTGCCCTTACGAAAGAAACTTGTTCTCTGAGCTGAAAAAAAGGCCACAGGAAAGAAATGGCGAGAGCTCTCTCAGGGAGAGCAGAAGAGTGAAGGTAACTGGGGTCCTCACCAAAAATCTGGGGTGTAGAGCTGCTGGATTGTACCTCTAGCCATGACTGCTTTTCAAGACCAAAAGTTGCTCTGGAGCCCCTTACCCAATTTTTATTTTACTCTACACAGTCTCCCTGCCTGAACTTAGGGCTCCGTATATGCTCTCCTCAAGTCTTCCCGCTCAGAATTACAATTACCCTAACTCTCTGCCATGCAAAAGTCTACACCGTGCTTAAAATCCATATTGTATCCATGCCAGTATAGACACACTGTTTCTGAAAGGAAGCAGAAGAAAGTAGTGTTTGGCTAAGGAAGGAGGTGGGGGGGATCCAGGCTGGAAGAAGAGCTTTTCCTGATATGATCTATTGCAAATTTGGTGGAGATTGCTTTTTTTTTTTTTTAAGATTTTATTTATTTATTTGACAGAGAGAGATCACAAAGCAGGCGGAGAGGCAGGCAGAGAGAAAGGAGGAAGCAGGCTCCCTGCTGAGCAGAGAGCCCGATGCGGGGCCCGATCCCAGGACCCTGAGATCACGACCCGAGCCGAAGGCAGCGGCTTAACCCACTGAGCCACCCAGGCGCCCCTGGAGATTGCTTTTTAACATGTATATGCATCCCTTTTTCCAGTTAAATATAGTAACATTCAGATATTAGACCCCAAGAGAACAGCAGTACACCTTGTCTTAGTATCTCTACTATATGTGTGGCAGGATTTGGGTACCCCCCCCAAAAAAAGGTAAGGTTATAATAATGTCATCTCGGGGTCCTTCACTCACGTTCCCAAGGTAGGGTGACGTTCCAAAAGCTTCCATTCCTCACTCCATGACTTAGCTGTCTGTGTGAGTTTGGCATAATGTGACGCCAAAGAAGATTGCCACCCCAGAGAGTCATCTGAATGAGAAAATGTACAGAAAGCACCTGGCCCAGGGCGATGCTCAGTGAGGACCGTTTTCCTTCAACTCTGTCGAGCTTTTCCCTTTGCCCCGTCTCTCTGTTGACTGAGAGCCTCTGCATGGTTACAGAAGCGCACAATACTGACCCTCATCCTGGTTATGTGTGGCAGCAAACGGCTTTCCGGACGGGACATTTCCCTGACTCCGGAAACATTGGAAGCAGCTGGCAGGGGCCTCCCTGAGCTGGGATTGGTAACTCACTAGCATCTGGAATACAGAGCTTTCCAGAACAATGGCCACGAACACTGGATTCAATCTGTGCCTAAGAAAGGACACGGAGGAGGGGCTCTAGCAAGTAAGCCCTTCCCAGAAAGCCCTTCCCTTTGCTGCCCAGGAACACTGGACCGAGGAATTACAGAATTACGGTGGGGCTCCCACCCTGTGCAGTGCAAACAGTGAGCTGCCCGCAGAATGAACGTTAAGGAATGTGGGAGAAAAGTCAATTGCACTGCCCTACCCAGCGGGGGGAAAAATAGCTCCTGAAAAGTCAAAGTGCGAGAAACCACGAACACAAAGTAGCTAAGTCCATTCCCAAGAACTTCCCCATGCTCTGGGCTTTAGGGCAAAGAAAAGCTGGTCGTTCTAGAAACAGTTTCCCTATCTGATGGGAGTAAAATTACAGGCTGAGAGTGTGGTGTTTCTTAGTCCCTCCTAGTACCTCTGTCAGGAACTTCTGTTTTCCCTAAGTTTCCAACTGTAGGCTATCTTTACGTGTTTTCAAGCTCTCAGATTTCACAGCGGGTATTTCTAGAGGAGCACTTTCTACTGGTCTCCCGTTTGGGGTAAAGGGGAAAAAGAGAAATTAAGTGAAAGGTTTGGTTTTTTTCTCTTGAATTTCTGCCAAGGTTTACATTTCATTCGTTGCCACACAGATCCAGCCAGAAGGTGATGTCACTGCCCTGAGCTCCAGAACTCCTACTCCTGTACCCCCCACCCAAACACACATCCATCCACAAAAGCAGAGTGACGGAGAGGAAACTAGCAAGCATGAGGTCAGACAGACACACACAGAGACAGTACAGGGACAGCCGGATGGAGATGGGAGCAGAGCGACCCACTTCAGTTTCCAAAGCCAAGTGCAGTAGATATCTACCCTGGACAAACAGCCAGGGACTAAGTCTGACGTCCTTGGCAAGACTCAGAGCTCAGAAGCGAAGTCGTGAGCCCCGGGAGCTGTGGCAGTGGTCCCCACTTCCCTCTCCTGCACCCCAGCACTTGCCTCCTTGTCCCTCCGGGCAGCATCCAAGGAAACCGAGGAATGGCCCTTGTGCTCGTCCTGGCCACACTCCTGGCAGATGCACTGCCCGTCGGGGCGGCAGAAGGCGACCAGTGGGCTGTGGTGGGCTGGGCAGGTGCGCAGGTCCCGGTCCTTCACGGGCTCGGTCAGCTGGTGGCTGTGCAGTCTGCTGTTCTCCTGGTGAGGCCGCAGGTGCTCCTCGCAATAATTCACCATGCAGGTCAGGCAGGACTTGACCGCCTTCACCCTGCCAGTCCCGAGGCAGAAGTCACATAGGATCTCCGCCTCCCCCTCACCGTCAGGATCCCCCTGCCCTGCGGAGCCGCTGCCCTGTCCCTCCGTCTCCGCCTGAGGGCTCTCCAGGGATCCCATGTCCTCTTCTTCCGCCAGGCTGCCTGACCCAGAGTCTGGGCTGACAGTGGCCAGAGGGTGAGCCGGGATCCCAGGCAGTGGCCCTGGGTTCATCAGATCCAACTCAGCCATCTGGAAGACTCTGGAGCCAGAGCCGTCCTTCCCTTGCCCCTTGTCCCAGGATCTTGTGCGGCCCAAGTCAGACAAGAAAGCCACGCCTTGATGATTGCAGCTGTCACAGGACTTTAACTGTTTCCGCCCTGCGGTAGGAAGCTCAGTTACTCATTACTCCGATCCGGCTTGGACGGCGGCCAGCGGCTGTGACGACGAGGCAGCTAGGTTGTTCAGGCTGAGGATGGCCACTCCCAACGTCTCCCCAGGGGCTCAGGCCTCTCCAGCCCCGAAACTTCTATTCTTGCATGAAATCATTCGCACCCTATAGGCTCAGCTGAAGATCATGTGTGTCCGTGGCTGCTCTGGAAAGAATTCGAGATTCCTGAGCTCTGCTGTAAAAAGCCTGTGGTGCTTTATGAGGCTTGACCAGCTACATTTTTTTTTTGCCTTTTTTCAAGGGATCTAAAATGCAAGGACTTCAACGATAGGTCAGACCCTCATCCCTTCCCATCTTGTAGAACTGGACATGAGGCATCTAACAAAAGGAGGATACGTGCCCCTGACCCTGACCTTGTCCATGCCACCTTCTCGCAAATGGGTGTTCAAGGGGATCAGAGGATCAGCGACAGGGTCAGGGAAGAACATGTCTCCTTCTACATAAAGCTCAAATCAGACAGCTCTCCCGGGCTACACGTCCCACCCCATGGTTCCTAGAAAGAGGTGTGTACCAAGAAACAGCCCCTTTGCCCACTTAATAAGGTGTTTCTGGACACAGCATGTGAGTGTTCTTATGCTGCCAAAATAACAAAGTACCACAGACTGGTGGATATAAACCACAGAAATTAATTTTCTCATGGTTCTGGAGGCTAAAATCCAAGATCAAGGTGTCAGCGGAGCTGGTCTCTTCTGAGGTCTCTCTCCTTGGCTTATAGATGACCATCTTCTGTTTTCACCTGGCCTTCCCTCTGTGTGTCTGTGTCCCAATCAGTCTCCTCTCCTCCTATGAAGACACCAGTCGTACTGGATTAGGGCCACCCTAGCGACCTCCTCTTAATTACCACTTTAAAGACCTTGTCTCCAAATACAATCACATTAAGAGGTCCTGGGTGTGAGGAGTTCAACAGATGAATTTGGGAGAGAAAGACACAATTTAGCCCAGAACACATGGACAGAGGACAGCGCAGGAAGCATCTAGCTCCCTAAAGAAAGGAACTCCTAGGCATCACCACCGTATGGGGACCTACAGTTGTGCTGAGTGTCTGCTGGATGGGCACCAAGGGACCCAGGACGATTCCAGGGTGCCTGGACCCCAACATCTATATCCTGAATAGGTTCTAGCCTCCCCCCTCCCCCAGACTTTTTCAGACATACTCAAAGGGATTTGGAAAGCTTATGAAACGGAGAAAGAGTGGGGGAGGGGGTCCTGGTCCAGTTCATCCCTGGCATCTGGGGTTGAGGTGACTCCAGGACATGGTACTACTCCCCCGTGGCTCTCCACCCGGCACCCCGCCCCCCTCCCCCCCAGCTCTGCTGGGGATCTGGGTTAAACCAGATAAACCAAGGCACATTTCTTGCCGCTAACCAAGATGTTCCAAAAATTCAAAAACTCAAGCGGTTGTTCAAAGTTGGAGGGCATTAATATAGTAAAAATCTATCTCAGCCACAGCCCTGTTGTATTTTCAACATGCAACACTATTCAACAAATAGAATATTTGTATACTGCCTAAAAGCAGCCCTTTTTAGCAATGTGAAGTTCCCTAAGTGTCCCTGTCCAGAATGTTGTGGTCCCCTGTTGAAGAGCCCCCCCGCCCCCCCCCCGGCCCCCCAAGAGGCTTCCCTGCATTTAAATTCATGGTTTTTAGATCTCCAGCCAGGAGGGAAAGGAGCTGGTGTCTGCAGGCTCCCCTCTGTGCTCAGGGTTAGCAGATGGGGCCGTTCCCTTTCTGTCCCTTTTTCCGGAATGACCTGGTAGTTGAGGCTGAGCCGGTCTCACAGGCACAAAGCCTTTGATCTTCCTGAGAAGGAGGAGGGAAAGTGGCCCAGGGCTGAACCGAGGACTTTAAAACAGTCTGGTGGCCTCCTGGCCTCTCCCATTCATACCTCCATCTCATTCCCACCCTCTCTCCTTTCATGAATTGCTTCCCTGCCCCACCCCCAACCCCTCCATTGCCAACCCTACAGGGCAGCTCCCCACCCTCAGACCTTCTCTGGTTCCACATGAGGGAGCCGGAGCAGCATGGAAAACAGAAAATCTGAATTTCAGTCCCCACCTGGCCTGACAAAATCCTTTGTCCTCACAACACCCAAGTGTCCCCACCCATAAAATGAGCTCCTGAGTCAGGGCTAGCCTGAGATTCCTGGTTTGGCTGGCTGGGGCACTGTGTGGTCTCTGAGCTTCTGATCTGGGAGCTTCTCTTGACGTCTGAGCTTCTTGGGAGAGTGGACGCCCTCTGGAGGCTTGCCTCCAGCCCTCTGGGGACCACGGAATACACAGCAGCTTCTGAATCCTTACCAGGCCTTGAAGCCAAGCCTTCTAGTTGACAGGCGTAGCCCTGATCTCTAACTCTTCTTCCAGGGGATGTCATGCATCTCATTGCGCTTCAAATACCAGAAGACTGGGACCAACGTCTGGTGTATCTGTTGCACCTGTTGCACCAAGCGCTCCACAGCCTGTCCTCCTGCTGCCGCCCAGGAGGCCCCCAATGTTCTCAGTCTTTCTCAAACAGTTCCCTCGGCTTCCCTGACTTCACGGACATTTGGCTTCTCCACAGTTTCCTGCCACCTCTCAGCGGGTGCCCTTCCTTCTCTCACCCCTACTAATGACAGAGCCGAGGCGGGGTGGGCATCCGCCTCGTTCCCAGTCACAAGGTGCAGACCACCCACCTTATAGTCACACGTGGGTTTTTTTTCCCCCCTGAAGCAAAATACACATCGCATAAAACTGGCCATCCTTAACTGTTTTCAAGCATACCGTACTGGGGCATTAAGGACATGCATACCATTGGTGGCCATCCCCACATCCATCTCCAGAGCTTCTTTCCTCCCCCCCAACTAACACTGTCACCATTCAAGCCTAACTCCCCATCCCTGTGCCCCACGCCCCCAGCGGCTGGCAGGCGCCCCTCTACTTTCCAACCCGATGAATCTAACGATTCCAGGTACCGCATCTAAGTGGAATCAAACGGTATCCGTCCTTCTGTGTCTGGCTGTGTCCCTCTGCCTAAGGTCCCCACGGTTCATCCAGGTTGTCACAGTGTCAGAATTGCCTTCCTTCTTCACACCTGGATTTTGTATTTGCCCGAAAGCTCTATCTCCAAAATCACAAACTAGTAATTACGGACTGTAGCTGCAGCTCCCTTGCTATAATGCCAGAAGGGGAAGAAAGTGCCACACGTCTAGCATGTCAACAACGTAGTTCCTTGTTGTCATCTTTCCCTTCCTGTCTTCCTGCTCTTTTGAGCTGCTTTTACACTCCGGGGCCCAGCATAAGCATGTCCCCTTTCCGCCCTCCATCTCACCTTGCCGGGAACCCCAAAATGCTCCCACCTTCCCGGAGCCTGCACCTAAAGGCAAGGAACACTGGAGCAAGGTTCCCAGTCACACAGAGAAGCGCCACCATGAATTCAAGACGGCTACCCTCCCGAGGCCCCAACACTGCACAGCCCTGGTGCTGTGTTTTTCTAGGTAAACCCTCTCTTCCCTCCCCAGAGACCAGGCTCCTCCCTTCTCACCCCTCTTCCTTCTTCCTACTTCCCCTTTGTGCAGAGGATCTGGCCTCCTCGTGGAGGCCGAGGAAAATTAAGGCCATCCCACCTCGAGTTTTAGGGTTGACATAAGCACAGCCATCTTAGCTTTGGCAGCCATCTTAGGCCCCTGTGACCAAGGGTTGAACTTACTTTAGTTCCAGGGACCCCCACCGTGCTTTAGTAACAGGAATACCTAACCCTGTAAACACTTCCAAGAAAGCACCTAACCCTGTAAACAGCCCGGCAACAGTCTGAAACTTCTCCTCCTCCCCCACCAAGCCTCTTGTAATGACCCATAAAAACTCCTGCCTTAACTAGCCTCGGGGTCCAAGTCCCTACTCCGCCGCTGTGTCAGGTATACTTGGGCCCAAGCTTAAGCTTGTTGAATTAACCCTCGTGTGATTGCATCGGTATTGGCTCCTTGGTGGTCTCTCAGATGTGAAAACTTGGCCATTACACTCCTGCCTTCCCGTGAAAAAGGAGCCACTACTCAGGAACTCGCTGATGTCCCCACAACCAGCCCTACAGAGGTGCCAGCATCTCTTGCCTCTCTTCTTCCTCCTCCCCCTGTCGTGGAAGCAGGGTCCCTAGGTCTATTAAAGTCTAGTCCTTCCCTGAGAGTGTTGGACCCCCCATCCCCACCCCAGTGCCGTCTTCTACTTCCCTGAACAAGGACTCTGCTCCTTCAGTTATGCTCCATCTTACACCCTTATTCTGTCCCTCTCCGCTAGCTCGCTCCCAGCAATTTGCAAACATACTCTAGTATCTTCCATTAAAAAAAAATTAGGGGTGCCTGGGTGGCTCAGTTGGTTAAGCGACTGCCTTCGGCTCAGGTCATGATCCGGTGATTAAGAAAAACTGTACTCTAGGGGCGCCTGGGTGGCTCAGAGGGTTAAAGCCTCTGATTCGGCTCAGGTCATGATCCCAGGATTCTGGGATCGAGCCCCGCATCGGGCTCTCTCCTTGGTGGGGAGCCTGCTTCCTCCTCTCTCTCTCCGCCTGCCTCTCTGCCTACTTGTGATCTCTCTCTGTTGAATAAATAAATAAATAAATAAATAAATAAATCTAAAAAGAAAAAAAAAAAGAAAAACTGTACTCTAAGACGGCTGACCCAACCAGCAAGGGAATTCCAGTGTCTGTCTCAAAGGCCTTCCAGGTTCTTCTTTCCTATTGCATTTCCTGCACGCACCAAAAGTACCAAGTATGTGGAAGTAGAAGGGTATAAATCCCCCTCCCTGCTTGTGCTCGAGGCTCAGACCTTTGGAGAATAACCCCGTCTGAGCCCACCGTGTTAAATAAACCTCCGGTCCTCCAAAGACTCCGAGTGCCCCTGGGTTCTTCCGCCAGAATCCAGTCCAGATTCTGCAACACCCGGGTCCTGGGATCGAATACTGCATGGGGTTCCCTGCTC